AACCAGAGTGCCAGGGAGCAGCTGAGCAGGAACAGGGAATGGCCTCTGGGCAGATATTTGGGTGAGGAGGAAACGCAGCCCTGAGCCTGTTGGCCTGGACACCGAAGGTGAAGCAGGGCCAGGTGAAGCAGGGAGCCTGGAAGGTGTGAGATCCCTCCAGGGCTCACTCAGGGAGCCTGGAAGGTGTGAGATCCCTCCAGGGCTCACTCAGCACTGTCACCTCCTGCAAGGGGCGTGAGCTCGCTGCTTCAGACTCCCTGACAGATCCCAGCCAGAGGAGAGGCAGCAAAGGTCACAGCCCCACTGCTCAGATCCCTGGACATGCACCAAAAAACCCGTGCTGCCTGTTCACCTCAGGACTCAGGCTCGCTGTCTTGTCCTGTGTACAGCAGGTGAATTCACAGTAATTGTCCTCATGACCTGAGGATACACCTGATGTGTTCTGGAAGAGGGAATTTCTTGACTTCTCCAACTGAAGAGTTCAGGAACACAAAAACCCCTTTTTCAGTTACAATTAATGGCATCAGCCTTCACTGGGCTGAGAACACAACTCCGGGAGCACAAGCCCCACTTCTGGATGTGAGAATACAAAGGAAATGGAACTTCCAAGGCAGTTGCCACAAGGAGATTTGGAAAATTGTCTTTCTATTGTCTCTCCTTTCCCCACCAGAAGCTGAGGGCATCCACATGTGGTACCTTCCTCCACCAGAGTGGGTTTAAGTGGCACAGGTAAGGGCAGAGATGCCCCTGCACCTCCCATGAGCCACGGGCACGGCTGAGAGAAGCCTCTTCTGGTGGGAAAAACCTCTCAGTGTAGCTCAGGTGTGCCTGGGGCTCAAACAGGAAACACTTCTGACCCGAATGCATTCGGGTCCAGAAGAGCTTTCAGCCCAAAAGTGGGCTAGCATGAACGAGTTAAAATCCTTTCCATTGCTTGGTGAAATTTATTGAAAACTCCATCGTTCATCTGTTGAAACTTCACAGCTGTTGAGATTGCCCTGGAGGCAAACCACATCCAAGAAATGGCATGTAGATCCTGGGAGCACGGGACGTGAAAGCTGAAACGGGCTCTGAGCATCTCCCTCCCCTCGCAGTCGGCTCTGGCCAGGGAGCATCACCTGCCTGTCACACTGCTCTTTTGTTATCCCTTGGGGAGCCCTGGTGAGGCAGGCCCCTAGGAAATGTGCCATTTGCTCATGAAAAACCTGTGAATTCTGTTTAGTGGTAGCAGCTTGGCTGGTTTTTTTGTTTGTTTGTTTGGGTTTTTAAAAATGATTTGTTGGCTGCAACTCTACTTGCTAAAAACTAGGATAAAAAGGCAGCTCGTGCTTATTTCCTTCTGACCTGAGCGCTCTGTGTGAACCTGGGTACTGAAATCAGCCACTTGGCACAAGCAAACTAGGCCTAGCTAAAACTCAAAGAACAAAATAAAAGGAGGACATGAGAAACCCACTGACTGCATACACTCAAATGATTCATGGAGTAATTTTGAGCAGGGTTTGCTTCTTTTTGGGGGATTGTCCACAAACAAAAATACTGGCGAATTCATCAGACGCTTTCTCCTGCTTTGAATAGTTTGCCCAGATCGCAGCAATCATCCCGTGCAATTTGCTGCTAACCTAAATAACTCCGGCTCGGGTACACGCGGGCACTGCCCAGATCTGCCCCTGCACGCACCCACGAGGGCTCTGCCCTCCAAGTGCCAACCCGCAGCTCGGGAGGGTTGGGATGTGCCGCGGTTCCCGCAGGAACGGGACACCTGGGGGTGACAGCTGGGGTGTCCCCGTGCCCTGGGCACACCCCGAGTGCAGCCTGGCACAGCCAGCCCGCGCCGTGCCCGCTGCAGGGGCAGACAGGCGGGAGGCGCAGGCCCGGCGCTGCATTCCTTACCTGTGAAACAACCCCCGGAGAGCCAAAGGCTTGGGGAATTCCTGGATCTCTTTGTAGTCACATTTCAGCTGTGACAGAGAGAGGATTTAAGCGAGGCAGGCTCTGGAGGGGGAGGTTGTAAGTTCCTTTTAGAGCAATGGAGAGAAACTTCTGCAAACCTTGCCTTACCTGCTCCTGCTGCTAACAGGAGGATGAACTGGGAGCCAGGGCAGCAAGTTATTCAGAAATTACTGATTTTGAGGAATTCCTTTCAGAAGCATTCAAGAATTGGTTACTTTCAGATCTATATGTCCCTAAATCCAGAGGCAACTTTCAAGTGTAGGCAAGCCCTAGCAGTTGAACTGTGTAAAGAGGCAGGGGAAAAGAAAAAGGCAAAATGAAGCCACTCCATTGAATCAAAGGTCAAATTTAGGGTGAAAAATAGCGGAATTAGGAAGTTTGGCCGGTACTGAAAATTGTTGCGGGGGTATTTAGATGTAAAGGAGGCCCTGGTGCAGAAGCCCCCGGAGGGAGGAGGCTCCTGGCAGGGAGAGCTGGCACCACCACGATGGCACCGCCGCTGCAAGGCCTCGCAGGGCGCGGGTGGAGTGTGTACACAGCCTCGCAGACAGCCACAAGAAATTATCTCATTAGTAAAGCCGGGCTAGCTGCGCTCCCCAGCACACAGCCGGCCTCCCACCGCACAGAAAAACTTGGTGTCTAATTAACCAAATCAAAGGGTCCCCCAGACGCAGCTGAGCGGGGCGGGCTCAGCGTGGAGCCCAGGCTCCTTCAGCAAGTTCTCCTGCACACAGTGGAGCTAATGGATGTTGGTTTCTTAGGGCTGGAGCTCTGGCATGTCCTGTGCCCCCTGTGAGCCCCTCCAGCAGCGAGCAGGCAGGGAAAGGAGCCTTGGGGCAGGAGCCCCAGAGCCCGAGGCTCATTCTGAGAGCCCAGCCGAGCTCGGCTGGCAGAGCTGAGGCTCCTCACAGCCAGGGGCTCCCTGAGCTCACTCACCCTCCTCTCCCCTCCTGCCTTTCCTCTCTCCCGGCTCTACGACCTCTGTTTGCTCTCATGGCTCCTCGGAACGGGGCCACATAAGGAAGGGAACCACACTTCCCCAGGACCTGGGACAAGGGAAAAGTGCAGGTGCTGCTGAGGCGGGGTTTTCCAGTCCCATTCCAGCTTTTACAGCTGCTCGGCCCCTCTGTTGGTGTGTGTAAAATGCTGCTGTTCCAGCTGAAAGCAGCACTGCACAGCTCCCGGGGCAGGAGAGCTCCCTGGCACTGCGGGGGGAAGGATTTGGGGTGTTTGTTTGAGAACAATCCTTTTCTTGCCTCAGGAGTGCGGGAGCTGCAGCTCCCCCTGCCCGCCCGGCTCCCGCGCCCAGGCCGGCTTGCTTTACAAACACTTTTCTCTTCCCCTCGTGCTGGAAATTTGACTCTACAAAAACACTTGCACAGCAGCTAATTGCCATCCCTGCAGTGATTGAGCGCTCTAATTCCTGCCAGTCAGTGAACCAGCCCAAAGAGCTGCATTTCACGACTTGCTGAGTGTACAAACGCAGCCCTAGAGACACGACATAGCTGGGATTTTTTTTTTTTTCCTGGACATCTGGACCCTTCTCAATTTTGGAAATTTCTTTCTCTCCATTAGGCATAAGGAACACCCAAAGATAGAGGTGGCAACAAGGCCCATTCCAGGGAGACGCTGAGGAGACGTGGACCCACAGAGGCCCTGGAGACAAGCGGGGGTGCCAGGGATGATTGTCAGGAAATTGGTTTGGAGGTAAAGCTGGCGTCGTCCAGCCTGTCTCTTCATGATTTGAGGGCTCATCATCATCTTTTCATGGATTCCTACTGCCCAACAAAGTCCACGCCTTGCAAAGTGTTCCTTGATCTCCTGGTTTGTATCCAGAGGGCTGCTGTAAAAATTGTTCAGCTGGTCAGCGGCTTAGACCGCATCATTCCTCCCTTCCCTCCTCCCCGGCAGCCTCCTTTCCCTGCCCCAATTGCGGAGCGCTCATCTTCCCCTGCCAGCCCCTCATTACCCATTACAACAAGCCCCTTCATGCTCTGCCGCCTGTCCCACACCTGGCAGGAGCCTGGAGCGTGTGCACGGCCCCGCTGCGCCGGGAGCTCCGCTCGGTGTCCCGGAGCGCTGCCCCGGAGCTCACGGAGCGGGGGGATCGTTCTGTTCCCGCAGGGAGCACCAGGGGAAACGGCCTCAAGCTGTGCAGGGAATGTTCACATCGGACATTAGGGACACGGTTCTTGCCTTTGGCTGTCCAGCCCCGGCACGGGCGGGCCAGGGCAGCGCGGCGGAGCTCAGACAGCCCCGGTGCGGCAGCCGGGACAGCGGCAGTGCTGGCCTCGGCAGCGCTGGGAGAGGGTGCGCTCGGCTTCGGGGTCTCAGGGATCGATCCCGGGATCGATCCCGTGATGGGATCCATGACTGACCCCGTGAGCGACCCCGTGATGGGTGCCATGATCGATCCCACGACTGGTTCCATTATTAAATCCCGTGACCGATCCCTTGACGGGTTCCATGATCGATCCCGTGCCCGGTTCCACGATCGATCCCGTGTCCGGTTCCATGATCGATCCCGTGACCTATCCCGTGCCCGGTTCCACGATCGATCCCGTGATCGATCCCGTGATGGGATCCATGATCGATCCCGTGATCGATCCCGTGCCCGGTTCCACGACCGATCCCGTGATCGGTCCCGTGCCCGGTTCCATGATCGATCCCGTGATCGGTCCCGAGCCCGGTTCCATGACCGATCCCGTGCCCGGTTCCATGATCGATCCCGTGCCCGGTTCCATGACCGATCCCGTGCCCGGTTCCACGATCGATCCCGTGATCGATCCCGTGCCCGGTTCCATGATCGGTCCCTTTCCCGGTTCCATGATCGATCCCGTGATCGATCCCGTTCCCGGTTCCATGCCCGGGCGCCGCTCCCGGGCCCGCACGGTTCTCGCGCGCCCTCTACCGGGGCCGGGCGGGCAGTGCGCAGGCTCCCCCCCGGTGCTTTCTGCGCATGCGCCCTGTGGGAGCAGGTCCTTCCCCCGGCGGGGCGGGGCCCGGCTCCGGCCGCCGTTTGCGCGTGCGCGCCGGGTCACGCGGCGGCGCGGGCCGGCTTAAGGCGGCGCGGGGCGGGGCGCGCGCACAGCCATGGCGCGCGGCAGCAGGAGCGCGGCGCGGCGCGGGCCGGCCCCGGCCCCAGCCCCGGCCAGGTACCGGGACCGGGCACACACCGGGGCTGCACACACCGGGGCACGCCGCCCCGTGCCGCCGCCCCTGACTCCCTTCTCTCCGCAGCCCGGCCCCAGCGGCCCCGGTGCCCGCGGCGCAGCCGGCGCAGCCCGGGCTGATGGCGCAGATGGCGAGCACGGCGGCCGGCGTGGCCGTGGGCTCCGCCGTGGGACACGTGGTGGGCAGCGCCATCACCGGCGTCTTCAGCGGCGGCTCCTCCGAGCCCGCCAGGCCGGCGGCGCCCGCGCAGGTGCGAGCGGAGCTGGGCTGTGCCCTTGGGCCGCCCTTGGGCGGGAGCGGGGCCGGGAGGGACGGGGGGATAGCGGGACGAGCCGCCCCCGCCGGAGGGGACGGGGCGCGGCCGCCCTGACCGCGCTGTGCCGCAGGAGCCCCGCGCCGCGCTGCAGCAGGCGCCCTACGGACCCTGCCACTATGAGATGAAGCAGTTCCTGGAGTGCGCCACCAACCAGCGAGACCTGACCCTGTGCGAGGGCTTCAACGAGGCGCTGAAGCAGTGCAAGTACAGCAATGGTGAGTGTGCCCTGGCCTGGGGCTTGAAGGTCGCAGAAGCGATCTTTGGGGATATAATGCCCTTCAGGGCTTTAGGAGGGAGCAGTTGTGTCTTTCCCGTGTCCTGAAGAGAAAAGGCAGCTGGAAAGGGAAGGAGAAATTATTTTGGCCATGTCTCTGGGAAGCCTGGGAGGATGTAGGTACCTTCTCAGAGGATCCACTCTTGGTGCTGTGGGAAGCCTGCTGCTCTCCCTGGCTGACTCTCTAATTCCTGCTGTATTTGCTACAAGCTGTTGTCAGTAGTTTGGTCATGATCTGGTTACACTGGGTGAGAGAGCTTTAACTCCAGCTGCTGGAACATGTTCCTAATGCTGAACTTCTCCTTCCTCCCTGTAGGTGTTTCTTCTCTCCTGTGAAGAATTCAGCCCCTCGTAGGCAGAGGACCGTGGTGTAGAGCCCTGCTATCCACAGGGAGTGGAAGGACACACAGGGAGCAAGCAGACTGACCAGACAGGAGTATTGTAGTGGTAATTCACTTCTGAACTAGTAGAGAAGGAAAGGAATGATTGGACCCAAGGGTCTTCAGTGTTCAGATAGCACTGTATTTATTACAGAGAAATAAAAGAATTTATTTGGACCTATCACCTGTGCACGCTCTTTATTTAATTCTCAAGCTAAAACTAAGCCGCCAAAGCATTAGCACTGTCAGGCAGAGGACAAGGCACAAGTGTGTACTTCCTGCAAACAGGGGGTGCAGCCTAGCAAGGACTGTGCCTACATGACTTGGCAGAAGGAGATCCAGACCCTGGCTGCCCTCCAGGCAGAGGAGAGGCAGCAGAGAGGTAAGCCAGCATATATCCCGTGGTATTTTCAGTGACAAATTACTTCTCTATAGATATCCTCTTCCTGAGTACCTGTCCTGCCCTCAGAGCTAAGAGGTGACCTGTCTGGCTGTGGGATGTGGATATAGTTGGCTGATCTGACTTTGAAGCTTTAGAAGGTTATGCAATGTTCTCAAGGTCACTGGCATCAGGTGAAGTTTGGAGCTGCTTTCCTCTTCCAGTCACCTTGGCAGCACAGCCTCGTGATTGCTGCCCATGGCCAGCAGGACACCCTGTTCCTCACGTTGGTCTAAGAGGAAATTCTGAGGTTTCAGCTGGAGTTTTAATGGTACAGCAGTGAAACCAGGACACTTCTCAGGTGCTTAACTGATGCATTTTTCATGGCAGAATGAGTATTTTAACATTTTGATCTCTACTGTTGAATAAAGGACAAGTTCTCAGCCCCTTGCTGGGATCTGTGAGGAAATCCAAATCTAGATGGTAAATGCTGGCAGCAGCTGCTGGAGGCTGCTGTTGAAAGTCCTGCCCCTTCTAAATGTCACAGTCTTAAGTTCTTGGTAGGGGTGTCCTGAGCTGTGCCTGGCCTTAGCAGGGGTGTCTTGTGCTCTCCTTAGAGACAGCCAGGGGAAAAGGCAGATGGCAGAGATTAAAAGCCCAAGTGCTCTATGTGCTGAGCTGTCCTGTGTGAGCAGGGAGGAACCACCCCAAAGCAAATAAGTGTATTAGTGTTGGTGTGTTGCTCTGGGAGGAGAAGCTGTGAAGGACAACCAGCAGCAACACCTGCAGTAGGTGTGTTCTGCCTTTGACCCATCTTGGCAAGTGCTCCTTCTGCAGTTGTGGGGACTGGCTGTCTCTGGAGCAGCTTTTCCTGGTGATTGCAGTGGACAGTCCCTGCAGGGCCTCCAGGGTGCTGCAGTGGGAGCAGGCCCATGCAGTGACAGGAGTGCAGGTTCCTGTCCCTGGGGAGTGCAGGCTGTGCCAGGGGAACACGAGGCCCCTGGAGCAGGAGGATGGTGCCCGTGCCTGGCTGTGATGCTGGGTTTGTCAGGGTGCAGCTTGGGGTGTGGTGGTGTGAAGCTCTGGGGGGCAGGGGATCCCAGGGAGAGGGGTCAGTAGCAGGGGACTCTTGCTGTGCTGGGAATAAGTACCTGGGCAGGTGTTTGGGCCCTGGTGGAGGCTGTGCTGCCTTTGTGACCCGTAATGGGTCTGTTCCTCACTTAGGGGTGTTCCTGTGTTCCAAGCTCCTCTTGCTCTGTAAGGTGGTCCTGTTCCTGGCTCGGGTGCTGCTGTGAGGCTGGGCTCTCTGCAATGAGCCCTTCTTCCTCTGGTCTGTCCTCTGAGTCTTTGCTGAGAGCTGCTGCAGCCGATCTGTGGAGTGACCAAGCCCTTGCAGAATTGTGTTTTCCTGCTGTGTTGGTCAGTTGCCCATTACATGTTGAGCAAGGCACTGCCAACCTGTGAGACTGCAGCCTGGGAGAGACACTTAAGGGTTTCTCAATTTCTCCTGATGTCCTTCCCCCCCATTTGTTCCAAGGAGATGACCCTCTGCCAGAGGGACAAGCTGGGTAGGCATGTCCTGGTGTGGGGTGTCACTCTTAACTGGGAGGGGTCCTGCCCAGCAGCCCTGCTCTTCCTCCCCTTGGTGCCTGACTGCTCTCACTGCCCACAAGAGCCCTGAAGGAGCACAAGGGGATAAGAGGAGAGTCCCACAGGTGCTGTATGAGGGCTGAGCTGGGAACAGGAGTCATGCCTGCACCCCTGACTCCTCTGTGGAGGTGAGGTGGGTGCCTGGCTCTTACCTGGGAGATCAGGGTAGTGTTTCCCCAGGTCCTCAAGCAAAGATTCATAGCAGGTGGCTTCAGAGTTTTCTTCTCCTGGCAGCAGAATGGGAGAAATGGATTAGTCTCTCTGCTGGCTGTAAACTGAAGGCTGGTAACTGGGGCAGGTGGTTCTGCCCAGGAAAAGTTCCTTCTCCTTGGAGTAGCCCTTGGACAAACAAAGGTTCAGCTCTAGCTCTTCATCTGAGCTGGCTTCTGCCTCCTCAGAGCTTCTGGGCTGTGTCCAAGTGACTGCTGAAGAGATCTCTCCCCAGACCTGCCCCCAGAGCAGACCCTTCCTGCCCGGGGGCTGGGCTGTGCTTCTGCACAAGGGACTCACGGACAGCTCTGATGAGGATGTAGCGCTGCCTTCCCTGCAGGTATTTACTGGCATATTCAGATGCAGGATCTTCCACTTTGCTCAGGTTCATCAGGGTGCCCTTTTCATCCATAAGATCAATGCAGTCTGGAGAGAGAGACATGGTGAAGGAAGCCCAGGCTGCCCCTGTGGGGCCAACATGAGCCTGTGGGGTTTAGAGGAATTTTCCTTGACAAGTTACACTTAGAACAGGATCTGCTGAGATCTGGGGAGTGGGAGGTTTGCTGTCCCTTTCCCTGTGTTTTGGGATGTTCTGCAGCTCCCATGTGACCCATTTGTTACCCTGTGCTGTTCCTCTATGGGCGAGTGGCAGTCCCTCGGTGAGCACAGCCCAGAGCCCTCGTACCTTCAGGCCTGCACTGACACTTCCACTTCAGGTGCCCTGTGAGGGTCTGGACGCAGCAGAGCAGGTTCACCATCTCTTGGCAGTTGGCTGCAGACAGGGAATGAGACCTGAGACAGGAGTGTGGTCCCCCCAAACCCAGGGACCACACGGGCAGTGCAGCAGAGGTGCCCAATGGGGCCAGCAAAGGCAGGACCCTCACGTGGCACCAGCAGGGCCTTGAGCAGCTGCATTGCAGCCGTGGGTGCTGAGTGCCCAGGTCAAGGGGGAGAAGATGAGCACTTTAATTTGGGGAATGTTGGAATCCTGGATGCTGAGAATTTTAAACTTTCTGTGCTTAAAGGCACAGACCCACAAGAGAACACTGCATTTGACCTGAGGTCATTGAGCAGGCTTTTAAAATTGATTAATAGCACTGGGATTACGGTTGTGGAGTTGGTTAGAAGTGTGTGATATCACATTGTGGAAAACTTAGAGTTTGGGATTTTAGACTCTAGAAATAAATATGAAACAAGATGGAGGTTTCAGGGTGGAGGCAGGTTGTTCTTTACCTTCTTGCTTCTTCTCCATGGGTTTGGATGATGTTTTGTAACTGGACAGAAAAGTCCACATTATGGACTTCAGAGGATCAGTTATTGGGTTAAAAGGAAAAATAATCTAGGTGTCCTTTCTTAACTGGATAGTTTAGTTTTAAAAGACCTTGTAACAAGAGTTAGCCATTTTGTGCCTTGTTAATGAAAAAGCTGCCAAACTCATGGTAGTGAGACTGTAACATAGATAAGGAATAATAAACACCTGAGTGTGAATGTGGAATACCATCTCACGTGCCTTCAATCCTGACCTCCAGAAAGCGATAGAGGAAAATGGTTTTGATTGATGAAGTGTCTCTGTCCTTCAACTTTGTTTCATCAAGCATGAGTAGGAAAAAGCAGTGAGCCCTCGTCCTTGCCAGTCCCCTTCTACAGGCTAGTCCCAGTCACAAGGGGAAAGAGCTGGAGATTGTGGCTGAGTCACCCAGGGATGTTTTGGCCATGAACTCTGACCGAGTTTGTCACAATTGAGAAATCCCCCAGGGCTGACACACGTCAGTAGTCAGAGCTGGGGATCCAATTCAAATAGCAGAGGGAGCAAAGGCTTAGGACTGTTTGTGTCTGATGGCTTCAGCCACGAGTGTCTGGGGTAAGGCCAAGGATTTCAGCCAGCTGGGTGAGGTCAGGATAGGGGCTGCTCATGCCTTCTCTCTGAAACAGAGCCAGGAGTTCAGTCAGGGAACCCTTTCCACACAGCCCAGAACAGAGAGCTCTGCTAGCAGCTGGCACTTGTTCCCCATGGCTCTTCTGGTTGTGTCTAGATAAGCAGGGCTCCCTCCGGTGGCTTCCCAGAGCTGCCAGGCTGGGAGCTCATCCTCACCTCCAGCCTCCCTCCCTGTGCTTAGCTCTGCTGGAGTGGTTTTCCTCTGTGGAGTGTAGAGGTAATATTCTCCGTTTTAAAAAGTGGGTAGGGTGCAGGATGCTGCCGTGCCCTGGCAGAGCTCTCCTGCCTGCTCCCTAAGCACCGAGCATTGCTGTGTCCCTCCCTGCCCCTTGTGGGGTGACCAGGGTGGCCCAGGTGCCCGACCAGGGCGTTCCCCACCTACCTCCGAATCTCACAGTGGCGAACATGGTGCTGCCGTGTCCCGGCAGGGCGGTGGGGCCGGGTCCCGTCCTGCGGGCAGCGCTGGGAGCTGCTGGGGAGCCCCGCACACACCGGCTCCATCTCCAGGGACGCTGTTGTGGTTTCAGCAGCCAGATTGCCCAGCAACAGTGAATGGCCCTGCGGATTCTGGAGCTTCCTGCGAGGGGACAGAGGGAAGGCAGAGTAAGGGCTGAGCTAAACAACATGTGGCCCATGTGGTCCCAGATGCTCTGAATTTCCGACCTCTTGTAGTCTCGTGGTGTTTCCTGTCCCCCCCTCAATCTGTCCTGCAGCTCATCTGGGCTGTGGTGGTGCCACATCTGTTCACCCTGAGCCCAGCACTGCTGCAAGGCCAGCCTGGCCAGCTGTGTGACATGGCTGGATGCCACTGGAAAAACCTCCCTGAGGACCCTGCCTGTGCTGCTCCTGCTCTGGAGCAGGAGGCACTGGGGTTTCGCAGCCCCATGGTGGACATGGTCGTGTGCCAGCTGCATCTTCTGTTTGGTGCCCAAATGTTGCTGTGCAAGTGTTCCTGCAGTCAGGGCCCTGTAGCATCATCCCCTTTTCCTGTGGAAAACACAGATGAAATCATGTCCCTGGGCTGCTCAGCAGATGAGGAGTGGTGGGAACCAGTAACAACACTGATGGGCTGCATTATACAGTGCTCACTGCCGTGAGGACAAATTCCCTTTTCTGGAATGCCCCTCTTTGCTTGAGAAAGTGATTTCCCTCTGTCCTGGCAGGTTTCATTTCACAGTCAGTCTAATCCATGGACTTGACCTGCTCAGAGCTTGGGACAAGGTGTGTGTGTGACACTCCTCCCCTGGGACATGTGCAGGGAGACTTGTGTTCATCTTGCCACCACTTTGCAGAATTTGGGGAGTGCAGGTGTGTGGCAGGCACATTCTTCTCCCTCTTTCAGGACTTTTTCATAGAGGAGCACAGACGAAAGAAAGAGAAAACAATTTCTATTTCTGCTCCTTGTTTTTCCCATGCGGAATGTGTTTGGAGAATTGTTTACCTGGGGTGAGTGCTTGATTGGATTCTGGTGAGGATTGTTTGAGCCTGATGGCCAATCCAACCCACCTGGGGCTGGACTCTTGAGAACAGGGTCACAAGTTGTAGTGAGTTAAATATGGGAGTTAGAGAAAGTAGGTTTGTAGTTTTAGTATCTCCTTTAAATAGTATATTAATGTATTTTGGTATAGTTATAACAAATCATTCGGCCTTCTGGAGTCAAACATCATAATTTCTTTTCACTGGCTTCACCTGCACTTACAATACAGGTGGGCAACAGCTGCAGCTGTACCTGCAGGGTGCTCGTACCTGCAAGAGCTCATGAAAAACACAACCTGCTGGCATCTGCAGGGGCAAACGTGCAAACGTCCTCGCCTTGGGGCCTGTGTGTGCAGATGAGAAGTGCCTGCTGCCCTCACTGCTGAGGACAGCCTGTGCTGGTGGCCGTGGGACGCGGTGGCCCTGGGCAGGTGTCACAGACAGGAGTGGCTTCACGCCCGCTGAGCCGTGGCTGTTGCTGCAACAGTCTGCTGTCCTTCCGCAGCAGCTGTGCCGCAGCCACCTCTGCCCCGGCTCCCTGGGGACACGCCTCCACCAGGGCTGCCCACGGCCAAGAGACAGCACCCTCAGCACCTGTTATGTGTAGTAGATATAATTTGCGCCATTTCTAATATGATATATGTGATATTGAATATTTGTTAAAGTATACATGTTTGTATTAGGATTCCCCCCCTCACAGGCGCAGGTGAGACCGGGTGTAGATTGGAAACTGATTTACAAGTAAGAAGGTACAGCTCGCCAGGAGATGGGCCATGGCTGGGGAGATACAGAAACCCCAGGTGCTGATTGTTTGCATGAACGACCCAAGAATGATATCATGGAAATCCTCAGGCAGATACATGTGAATACAGCGTTCCGGAATTCCTGTAAATTTCATTAAGGGATTCAACAAACTCCAGACAGTGATTTGTTCTCCCTCATCACCAAAAAGGAAAATCTTATTAACATATAGACTCTGAATAGAAGAAAAGACTGCTGAAATCTTGGCCTCAGGCGGAATTATCCCTATAAAACCCACTTGTGCCAGGATGGAGGTGTGTGGGCATGGAGGAAAACCTCTGCTGAGGCTGACTCCTTGTTGCACACCCAGGGCCGACCCCGGGCTCGGCTCTGTTCTTTCCTTGTGGCTGGCTAGATAAAATTTGATTGTAAAATAAATATTTTATTTTTCATATTAATTTGGCTGGACAAATTTTCATTTATAACAGCACCCTCAACACCCTCAGCAGCTCCCAGCCCTTGCTGCAAGTTATGTTGAGACCCTGCCAAGTCATTCCTGCCACCGTGTCAGACCGCAGGGACACCTCTCTGCCAGCGATGCCACCCCAGTGCCCAGGGTGTGGGGTGGTGGGGTGGGCTGTGGTGTGCTGGTGCAGCTGAAGGAAACGGGCTGGGGTGAAGGTGGGTGGCTCTCAGCCCCTCCCTGAAGCCCAGCTGCAGCAGAGCGAGCAGCCCCGGGGAGTTGAGTCCCCTGAGCCCCTCGTGTCATTTACATACATCCCACCAGTGGCCCCGCACAGCACCCGGGCTTTGTGCAGCACCCCAGAGCCGCTCTGAGAGCCTCCCTCCCTCTGCCTCCTGCCATGGCCCTGCGCCTCACGGTGCTGCTCCTGCTGGGGACACTGGGCACAGGTAAGGCTGCTGTGGCTGAATCAGCTCTGCCTGGGGGCACTGCAGGTTGGAGCCAGGCCTGGGCTCTCCAAGACGGGCTTGGTTTGAGTAGGGCGTTTTGCTCTGGGGCCGTTGGGTTGGGTAATGCTTTGTGGACATTTGGGGGCTGAGGGTGATGGGGGACACGGCTCAGCCCATCACTAACTGCACCCCTGGTGCGTGCAGCTGCCAGAGCCCAGCCCGTGCTGAGCCAGCCGCAGTCCGTGTTCGTGCTGCCCGGGCAGAGCGCTCGGCTCTTCTGCACCCTGAGCCCCCAGTACAACATCAGCCAGTTCGGCATCTCCTGGTACCAGCAGCGCCCGGGCCGCTCCCTCAGCTACCTGCTCTACTACAACTCCGAGTGGGACAAGCACAAGCCTGCCAGGACTCCCGACCGCTTCTCGGCCACCAAAGACTTCGCCAGCAACGCCTGCATCCTCACCATCGCAGCCGCCTGCCAGGACGACAACGGCACCTATTACTGCGCCCTGGCACCTGCCCTCAAATGGCTCTAGCACGGGCTATTACTGCCCTCAAATGGCTCTAGCACGGGCTATCACTGCACCTATCACTGCTCTCAAATGGCTCTAGCACGGGCTATCACTGTGCCCATCACTGCCCTCAAATGGCTCTAGCACGGGCTATCACTGCGCCCATCACTGCTCTCAAATGGCTCTAGCACGGGCTATCACTGTGCCTATCACTGCCCTCAAATGGCTCTAGCACGGGCTATCACTGCCCTCAAATGGCTCTAGCACGGGCTATCACTGCCCTCAAATGGCTCTAGCACGGGCTATCACTGCTCTCAAATGGCTCTAGCACGGGCTATCACTGCGTCCTGGCACTGCTCTCAAATGGCTCTAGCACGGGTATCACTGTGCCTTTCACTGCCCTCAAATGGCTCTAGCACGGGCTATCACTGCTCTCAAATGGCTCTAGCACGGGCTATCACTGCACCTATCACTGCCCTCAAATGGCTCTAGCACGGGCACCTGAAGCTTTCCTCGCTTTCCTTGGCGTCCCTGTCTCAGCAGGGAGCGCAGCAGCCCTGGGAGGGATGGGAAATCCATCTTTGCATGCTTGAGCAGGCCAACCTCCCCTCCTCTGTGTCCCCAGGCGTCCCCAGGGGCACTGGCCAGCCCGGCAGGGAGCGCCGGGGCCTTCCTGGGCTCCTCCAGCACCGCGACCTGGCTGCGGCTTCCGCAGAGCTCAAATAAAGGCAATAAAGGCCAACCCTCACCTCACCTCACCCCGCGGCTCCTGTCGTGTGTCCCCGGGCCCAGGGCGGGCAGCAGCGGCCGCGGCCCTGGCGCGGCTCTGGGCCGGCTACAGCCCGCACCCAGCCCTGCAGCAGCCCCTGCACGGCTCCCGGGGGGACAGGGACACGCGTGCCCGCGGGGACTCTGCGGGGACGGTTTGTCACGGCAGGACGAGGACATCCCCACACGATTCCCTCACGATCCCCACAGAACTGGGAACGCCGCCATTGCCGCACTGCGCCTGCGCAGCTCCGCGCGCGCCCCCGCGGATGTCACGTGACGGCCGGTCGGCGCTACCATTGGCTCAAGGCAACACAAAACCAGCCGCGTGACTTCCGGGTCACCTCAGTCCGTCTTCGGGCCCCGCGGCGGTCGGGCTGGGCCGGTGCCCTGCTCCTGTGACCAGCATGTGCGAAAAGACCGCGCTGTGAAAAGCCAGTGTCCACAGGAGACAGAGGAGTCCTGCAAATTTATTTGATTAAAGGGAGAGAGTCCACCACGCCATATCCCCGTGGGGTGTCTGTCGAGATTTCAGAGAATGCAGCCACCTTTTATCCTAAACTCCCGGCCGCAGGTTGCCCTCTTCCTTTCCCAATTGCCTGAGGCATAGTGGCAGGAGCTGGGCACTGTACTGTGTAAAGCAAGCATGGGATAATGAATTCTTATCTTCTTAACTGAGTCCTGTTTATTATGTTTGTCAAAGGCGAAGATCAAATTTGGTGCAAGGGGGTTCCAAGGGCTAAAAGGAGATGCTGCCCGAGATGCAGATGTGAAACATTTTGGGATGTGCCAGAAGCGCCACGGAGCTGGAGCAGGCTGACAGACCATCCTGCCTCCTTCCCTGCAGCAGTGTGGGAAGGCACAGGCAGGTCTGGGAAAGGCGCTGTGGAGAGCTCAGCTCCACCCTTCGGCCTCCTGCACAATCAGGAGTGAAGTACATTTGTAATACCAAGGCCTGAACAAGTTCAAGCAAACAAAGCTTCCCTGCTCTCTGTCAGCAAGTGGACAGCAGAGAGCTGCTCGCAAAACTGGACTCCTCTTTGAGGAAACTGCTGCAGAGTAACAAGGAAAGTGTTTAGAGACAATAAACATCCCATCCTAGGCAGATCCCCGCTCTTCTCTTGTGCTTTGGGACTGTGGCAGAACAACTCCATTGGAGTTCTGAATGGTTTAAACTCACTAAGAGGAACATAAGTACTATAGTGACAAATCCCAATACAATTCCTTTAGACTAAGGAGGAAAAAAAAGCCCTACCAACTTTAGTCAGGATCTAATATTATCCCTTCTAGCTGACACAGCAAAGCAGGGACTGAAAGGCATCCACAACTAGCTATGCAAAGCATCCATAATTCCAGCCAGTGACCCATATAAAATGAATAAATAATTCATAATTACATATGTAGCGTACACCATGCATGTCAAGAAGGGTTCCAGAGAGAGAAGCACAGTGGGCATGCTTTGCCCTCTGAAAGGAAATGTCCTCCAGTTACTACTGTCCCTCTGGAAAGTCTCTGGACTGCAGAGACACAACTGAACCTCCATTTACAGCTGCAAAACCACATTAGATATTTTCCCCATGATGTTCTATAGCCTAGATTGACTCCACGATTCCTGAAATTTAGAGGAACTATTCAAAGAATGCACTGGCACAGTAGCACAGTACCAGCACTCCAAAGCAGGTGCACAATAAATTGAAGAAAGCAAGATTCAGTCCTGAAGAAGTTCCTTACTTCCTCTCTTCACCTCTGGGTTTGCCCCCACATACAAGGCAAGCTTTTTACACAGAGGCTTGGGTAAAGCAGCAGCTGCTGTCTTGTTCTTTGGGATTCAAGGCTCCAGTTCCTTCCTTCTGCTGCTCAGACCTGCAGCTCTCAAACAGGCAGGAGCTCTGGGGGGTACTCCCCATAGCAGTATTTGGCAATTGGGTCTCTGTAGGTGTTCTCATGCTGCACACTCTGCCAGGAAAGAAGAAGTTTTGACAATATACACACAGTGAAACAAGGCATCCCTTCACTGAGGGAAAATAATGCATAGAGTTTATGTACAGGCAAGAAAAATTCCCAAATTCTTTTACACATCAGAGTGCCTTTGGAGTCAAAGAACTCCGCATTGCCAGCTGATATATTACAGCACTGCAGTGTTGAACCAGAACCTCCTTTTCAAAAGATTATCCAAGTAGGTGGGAACAGAGCTCATTAAAAAGAAATAGATCTGTTTAGGCAGTATCATCAAATGTTCTAAGCAAGCAGAGCACAATGAAGTTGCAACTTGAGATGTGTGCATTTTTCTTGACAAAAGGTAGAGTTCAGATTTTATGCGTAAAAAATCCCAGTAGCTTTGGAGACATCTGGAACTCTATCCTTTGTTTGCAGTCCATCCCTATTGCTGCCTGAAATACTGAAGTTGCAGGACATGGCCAACAGTACTTTCTAAAAGGGCCACTGCTTGCTTAGACCAAAACTTCTAATAAAATCACATGGGTAACAGAAGTCCACTTCTGTCCTTAATAAGCAAAGAAATTACAACATAATTTTTGAGTTACTGTGCAGGTGATTGTCAGCACATGGTTGGTCTCCAGCTGTACCATAAAATAAAGAGCATTCTGAGGCTACTGGGAACAACTCTCACTGTCTTAATCCTAATGAGATCTTCCCCAGAACTCATCTGAGATATTCACAGGTCATTGAAGTCATTCTGTTTTTAGTTAAGCCCCTCTTTTCTGAAGAGAATGTGGAACTCATCCTGCTCTAAATACATGCTTTGCTTCAGACTGGCTCTCAGCCATAGCATCAGCTCTGATGAAAACACAAACACGACATGCCAGCCATGCACAGGATTGAGCCCCATTTCCCAAGGGCACTTTTTGGGCCCTGGACATGTGCTGATGCCTCACCTGTGATGAAGTCCTACACTTGGCCAGACACAGCTCAAAGTGATCTTCCACAGCCATGAAGAGGTTTTGGAACGCAATCGCTGCCCGGTTCAAGAACCGCTCCAGGAGATGTTGCTGAAGTGGCCAGCAAACAGAAGGCAAAAATCAGAAACAGTCTGCTTCAGCAAGGAGTAATCAAAGCCCACCCCAGCCTACAAAGCTCAGGTATCAGAGGTAGAGTAAACAATTCCACTTAGGATTTCTAGCAAGCACTGAAAGGTTCATGCCTCAGAACCCCAGCAGCAGGACAAGAATCTAAGAGCTCACAGAAAAAGGGGAAATGCCAATTACAAAACTAATAGTGGCTGGAATAACTCTTCTGTATCCATTTCCCTTCAGCAAATGCAATTACCCTGAAGCTGAAACACTTTTCTAGGCTCCCAGTATATCCTCCATAAGGTGGGAAGGACGAGTTTTGTTAAAGCTTTATTTATAGCTTGCCATACGCTCCTTGGAGCTCTTCCTCATCCTCACAAGAATTAAGGAACTGTCCCTCCAAGGGAAAAGCTCCTCACAAAGAAGCACTTTTAGCCACAGAGGGAGCCAACAGCTGAGAACACCTGGAAAGCAGGAGGAAGTGCATCACCTTGCTGGGCTGCAGGCAGCAGGACACGCAGAACTCGTAGATGCTGCAGCAGCCGTTGGGCAGGCAGCTGTCACAGCTGTACAGCTTCGTGCTGGGCACGTGCACATTGCAGCAGCCATTCACCAGCAGGTCCTTCCTCTCACAGATGTAGCCTGGAAAACAGCAACAGCAGTGACAACTGGCAAGGCACACCCCTCTGTACGTTCTACGGAAATCTGCAGTAAGAATCACATTCCTCAAGAGCAGGTCTGTTTGTCGTTTAGTAGATGATGATCCCCCTCAGTCCTATGCAGCCACTCTTGGAAATGGAGAGCAATGTTCCAGACAGCCTGGTGTTACCTGCACAGCTACCACATCCTGCTCTAATATGTGCTGTAGATACACCATGAGTATTTAAATGCAGATTATTTAAGTTCTGACTTTTTTTGGGCACAGTTGTTCGTTGTGAAAGAGGGAATGGGATTGGCATTGATTATATTGGAAAAAATCCATGTTTTTACAATGGGGCTGTGTCTGGATAATTCCTTTACAGTTCTGTATGAAGAGACTTAGATTTAGCCATGCAGGACAGTGTAATATTCATTGCTGAGTAGAATCCTTAACAGTACAGAAATATGGTGTATATCCTTATGGAAATGGTCCTACCACAGTGTTAGACTCTGAGAGATCTGTAATTTTTAGAGATCTTATGAACTGGCACTAAGTCAGGCAGTGCCAAATTTAACAATGATGCAAATCACAATAGATGTGGTGGGTTTTCCATAGCCTTCATTTGTGGCCAAGAAAGATCCAGGACTAAGCAACAAGCACAGTGCAGGGCAGGAAAGAGTCTTTAACTTCTACTGCTTCAAACAAGTGGTTAATAACCTTGGGTTTACAAGGGTCAGACAAGCTCATTAACTGTGCCTGAGCACTAATTACACCAGCCCTGAGCTGCATCCGTACAAGGCCAAGGCTTCCTCAGTTGCTCTCCTTAACTCCCCTGACAGCAGGAGCACACTGCAGGGAGACACAAAGAGCTCTGCAAGCAACCACAGCAAATGGAGCAGGACTCAGGGTCTGGGCTCTGTGCAAAGGTAACTGGAATTCTTTGGCTTTAAGGTGGTCACAGTCACACTCTCACAGCCCTGGGCCTGAGCCTGGTGTGCACAGAACCAAAGCAGCAGCATCTGCAGCCACAGTGAGATTGAGCCAGCCAGAGGAGAGCAGGCCAAGGGCTGAGTTAAAGTCCCTTAATAAAGAGCAGTTGTTACATCAAACCGTCATCAGCAGTCAGACAGAAAAAACAGCATTCAGCAGTGCCCCATGCAGAATAAATTCAACTAAATATCAACCATACCCAGTTCATCTGTAATGAGGAGCTTCCCCTGCACAGAGTTCCTGCACTGGTTGCTCAGCTGACTGCTGTTCCCCGAGCTGAACTTCACCTTCCACATGATGGGCTGCTCATGCTCCTGCACTTGGAGGAGAGTCCGATCTCTCACCATCCTCTCTTCCTGCAAGAAAAACAGGAATGCCACCAAACATACCAGTTCCTCCTGCCACTTCAATCCACGTGCCTCTCCCAGGATTAAAGATGCCTAGTACTTGTAAACTCCACAGCACAGGAAATTATAGCATCAACAGTGCAAACAATTTACTACTTGTAGTATTTTATACTAGATGCATATACACACATATATACTTCACACCATACACAACAGGAAGACACACAGTCCAGTAAAGTCAGGGCATTCCAGTTCACCATGGCCCAGCTAACACAGCTGAACTCAGTCACTACAACCACAAAAGTAGCAAAAATTATATTAAATAACCACAGCTGAACGTATTTCTCTTTCATGAGCCCTTTGCCAGTGGAATCACCACTCCCAAGAGACACAACAACAACACCCACCAAACCCAGCGGAAACTTTCTTTTCCCAGTTTAGGTGTCAAACACAGAATCAGGCATTCCTATTTTAAACCCCATTAAGTATTTATAGCGCCATCCTTACGGCAGCGTTACCCAGGCGAGCGGTGCCAGCACCTGAAGAACGAAACCCCCGTGGCACACGGGATGTTTTACCCCAGCCCGCGGCGTGCGGGGCCGGCACCGACCTGCTTGAAGGTGCTGCTGATGAAATAAACGAGCGAGAGCCCCAAGACGACGCCGAGGACCCATCGCTTCCTGAGCAGCCGCCGCCAGAGCACGGCCCCGCAGGGCACCATGGCCGGGCGCGGGGCAGCGCGGGCGCGGGGCCGGCATCACCGGCGGGCCCGCAGCGAGCGGCGCCAGCCCGGGGGCCCCGGCGCGGCCCGAGCGCGGCCCGAGCGCGGCCCGAGCGCTTCCGCCGCGGGGCGGGACCGGGCGGGGCGGGCGGAAACCGCGGCCGGGCGTGCGCGGGGCGGCACCGGGCCGAGCCGAGCCGAGCCGAGCCGAGCCGAGCCGAACGGAACCGAACCGAACCGAACCGAGCCGCACCGCTGGGTACGGGCACCGCCGGGCCGGGCCGAGCCGAGCCGAACCGAACCGAACCGAGCCGCACCGCTGGGTACGGGCACCGCCGGGCCGGGCCGAGCCGAGCCGAGCCGAACCGAACCGAGCCGCACCGCTGGGTACGGGCACCGCCGGGCCGAGCCGAACCGAACCGAACCGAGCCGAACCGCCCCGCTGGGTACGGGCACCGCCGGGCCGGGCGTCACGGTTTCCAGCGCGAACCTCCTTCCCCCGCCTAACCGGGAAAAAAGGCCTGTGTGTGCATGTGTATATGTGTGTACGTATGGAATTGTATGGGTTTAATTTGTATATATATATATGTGTGTGTGTGTACATGTGTATATATGTGTATATAGGATATGCACATATGCATGTATATATATGTGTGCATAGGTATAGAACTGTATTAATAGAGATTTCTGTGTATATATGTATGTATATCTGCATGTATACAGGTGTATATCTCTATATGTATACTATGTATATGTGTATTTGTATATATATGTGTGTATGTGTACATGTGTATATATGTGTATATAGGATATGCACATATGCATGTGTATATATAGATGTATATATGTGTGCATAGGTATAGAACTGTATTAATAGATATTTCTGTGTATATATGTATGTATATCTGCATGTATACAGGTGTATATCTCTATATGTATACTATGTATATGTGTATGTGTACATATAGGTGTATATATGTATGCATATGTATATAACCATATTAATAGATATGTCTATATATATGTATATACATGTATGCATACCTATACATATATATGTATGTATATTTATATATTTATACTATGTATATATATATATATATTTACATATGCATATGTATAGAACCGTATTAATAGATATGTCTGTATATAAATGTATATATAACTATGTGTACCTGTATGTATGTATATCTTTATGTATGTATATCTATGCATATCTGTATATGCATACTATGTATATGGTGTGTACATATGTAGATGTGTATATGTGCGTGTATGTTTAGAACCATGTTAATAGATATGTCTGTATACCTGTGTATATACATGTATATATACACATATAGATATATATAGGATTGTTAATAGATGGGTATGTAGGTATACATTAACAGATCTATACTCATACATCAATATATATGTATGTGTATATATATGTGTAAACACACACATATATACATATGTACGTATATAAATATATGTATGTATATGCATTTGTACATATATGTATGTACAGATGTATATATAAAATATATATTATGCCATATGTGTGTGACACATTCTGTGATACAAGTGCATGTATGTATAAATACATTTATGTCCGTCAGTATTTATTACAGCCACACTCAGGTGTGTGTGTGTGATAAAAGCTGTGTGTATGGCCTGTCTGTATTTATGTCAGTATTTATTACAGCCACACTCGGGTGTGTGTGTGTGATAAAAGCTGTGTGTATGGACTGTCTGTATTTATGTCAGTATTTATTACAGCCACACTCGGGTGTGTGTGTGTGATAAAAGCTGTGTGTATGGACTGGACTGTCTGTATTTATGTCAGTATTTATTACAGCCTCACTCGGGTATGTGTGTGTGTGATAAAAGCTGTGTGTATGGACGCAGTGAAGGCAGAGTGCAGCTCTGGGAGTGCTCCAGGGAGTGCCTGTGTGGGAAGCAGGGCTGCAGGGGCCAGTCCCAGAGGAAAACAGCTTTGCTGGGTCATGCACATGGGCAGGGCTTGAAGCACTGAGGGTTCCTGCACCTCTCTGCCTTTCCCAGGGAGATGGAGAGGTAAAACTCCTTGTGCTGTGCTGAAAATTGCTATTTCTGTGTGCTTCCTCCAGGCAGGCCTGTGTGAGCACTGGGGGCAGGCGCTGACAGTCACTGCCTGGGAGGGAGGACCTGGGATGAGTTTGAAATCTGCACTGGCCTGGACTGTATGAGGTGCTCCATCTGTGGATGTCTGCATGCCTGGGCTTCCATCTCTGCCAGTGTGGCACCTGTCACCTCTGGATAAAGCTGCTCTTCAGGTACTGTGCTTTGAGACAACTGGCAAACCTTCCCAGAACCATTGTGCCTTTACACGTGGGCTGCACATCTTTATATATATTGTCCTGTGTTATGAGTAATGTTATAACTCTTTATATTCAAGAGTATTTAGATATTTGTCTTTACATTTTATTAAGTAGCTGTTGTACTTTGGGCCTATTGTCCAGGCTTTGTAGATTAAAATGAATGAGTTGCTTGTTTAAAAGAATATTGTCATGAGATTATTGTATTTTTTTCATTTAAAATGTTTACACATTTTCTTTTTCTTCCTCCCTCTCAGTTTTGCTTTGCAGAGCAAGTTCCTGCAGAAAAAGAAGACTGGATCTGATTTCCCAAGAGGCTGTTGAGTCACGGGTCACATCGAGAGCCACTGTTAGCTGTGCCCATGTTCCTTGGCAGGCCATGCCATCCTTCCTGGTGACTGTCACTCCCTGCAGGAGGGGACCTGAGTGACTCCTGCCCCCTGGACACCTGTGTGCCCCCACTTGCCATTCAAAGCTGTCTCTTCAAGTCCACTGAGAACCAAATGGGAGCTCGAGGTGCTCTGGAGCAGAAGCAAATGATTGCTGCCAGCCATGTCCCCAGCTGAGCGGGTCCCACAGCCCTCTGCCCCCAGGGCCTGTGCCAGTAGCCACTCTGGGATTTGCTGAGCCACAGGGTTCATGTTGAGCGTGTTGTGTTTTAGGGTTTTGAGGAAAATGCAGAGGCGGCACAGCAGCAACACGGACACCGTGCCTCCTGAAAGGTAAATCTTCCCCTTCTTCTTCCCTCCATGTTCCTCTCCCAAGAGGAGGGTTCTGATTTAAGAGTTGGGGGTGTTTTACAAGATGAAGGTTCAAAATTGAGAAAGTCAGATTCATGTGTGTGTGGTGTGGCCGGGCTCTCTGCTCGAGTCTGGGGGCTCTAGAGAGAAGTTTACTTTTCTCCTTGCTGTCACTCACTGACTGCTGCCAGCCACAGTGTTTCAGGGTGATCCAGGGTGGCACAGCTGGCACACAGCTGGCTGAGCACGGGCAGGATGTGTGGAGCTTGGAGGAAGGGTTGGATTCATGGCCCCGTCCTGTGGGGACCCTGAGCACTGTCAGTGTGCAGGGATGGACCTGTGTGAACAGGAACCATTTACACTTCTCTTATTGAGGTGTTTAAAAAGTCTGCTGGTCTGAAGCTCCCAACTGCTCTGACTTAGTGTTTTATAAAGAGTTTGTGTGACCCTTTGCATCTTCCCAGAGTCTATCTTCATGCATGTGAGTATTTAGAATACCTCTAATTTGTTTCTGTAATTATAACATCAGCAAGGGAGCCTTGCCACTGTTGTTGTTCTAGTACTAAATATTCCCTGGTGCTTTCCCAGAGTTGGAGTATGACTTTTTAAATTTTTATTCCTGAAGAAGAAACTAATCTAATTACTCCAAGACAAAGATGGAACTAACAAATTTCATTGCTCTGTTTGAGCTGAGATTATAAGTGAAAGATCATAAGTAAATATTTTATTTTTTATAGTGGTTTTGCAATTACCGTTGAAGCCTTATGTCATGGTCATTGCTAGCATGGTACCATTCTTAATTTCAGGGGAAAGAAAGCCATCTTCAGGTTTTTTCTGTGTGCTACTTCTGATTTTTAACAGGGTAAATACATAGTCAGGAACATAGTGTCAAGTTTTTCTACCTGTAGAAGGAAATGCTGTTAGCACTGGTCTTCACTTCTGTTAATTTCAGCAGCCTCACAATTTCAACAAAAAGACCTGTTTGTTTATAAATATGTCACAGATTAGTTCCTTCTTGCTGAAAGCACACTCGTGTATCCTGGTAATGTTATTCCAAAGGATAGCTGTGTCTTTATTTGTACCACTGGGTTCCTCCCAGGCTGTTTGTTACATTCCCAGCCATAAGCTGTGCATACACCCCTGAGTTCTAATGTCAGGTGTGAATTTAAAGGCCTGCCTGATGAATATTTTGGACCAGAACAAGGTGTGCAATGCCTTGTTGACTGGATTCCCTGCAGGAGCCTGTGCAGATGCAGTGGGGATGGGGTGCAGCTACAAAAAGCCTTATTAGGAGTTTGCTTAGTGGGAAGGTTTGGCCAGAGAGATTTGAGGGTGTCCCCAGAAGGAGGTGAAAGGCAGAGCTCTGTGCCCTGGGGAGGCTTTGGAACCCATGGGGGAGAGAGGGTTGAGGGCTCTGGCTGTGCTGTCTCAGTTTATAAGTGCTGTTCCTAAAGTCAGAGATCTCTCAGGACTCAAATCAGGAGAGACCAAAGCTCTGCAACACGCCTTACTTGTGGGCTTTGCCTCTTGCTGAGGTTTATTTGTTGTTTACTCTCCTTTTGCAGGTTAGAGAAGTGTTTGCTGCCTGTCAGGCATTTACTGCCTGGTGATCATTGAACTTGTTACTTGCATTGTTCCCTCTCACCTAAACTTTCCTTGTATTGACTTCTAGTTAAAAAAAAAAAAACCAAAACAAAACCCTGTTGACTTTTGCTGTTAGGATAAAGGTATTTAGACTTTCTTTTTGGAATCTGGCTGTATTCCAGCATGCTTAGGAAAGAATCAGTGTCAGAACTAGTTCTGACCTGTAATTTGGGTACATCCATGCCCAATTTACCAAAAATATAAAAATAAAAGAATTTATCTGAACCTGTGAGCACATCCTTCACTTTTGTGTCAGGTCAGGGACACACAAAGCAGCTCTCAACACTTCAGTTCTCCTGGTGATTCTGTCTCTTCTGGTGCAATTCATCAGTGGGCAGGTAGTGATTATCCCAAAATAAAGACAGAGGATTTTGGAGGTGGGTCATTCCTTTGAGTTAGCTTGGTTAATTTGTTTATAGTATGACTTGACTTGGTGGTGAGGTATCAGGTTCCATGAGGTTTTGTATGTTTTTCTTTAAATACTCAAATCATTATAGAATATACTGGATTTTGTACTGGATGTATTATTTCTTTGTTTATTTCCAAAAGCAAGCAGGGTGTTTGGGGGCTTCATTCCTTGGTGAGGGAGCTGATGTGTTCTGGTCGGGTCTGGAGAGGTTCTCTGATCTGGTTACCGGCCTCCATCTCTGCAGCTGAGACTTCCAACAGAAAATACAGGGAAAAGCATCTGGAGACCTGGATGTTCTGAGAGTGTGGAAATCCTTAAAATCAGAGTTTTGGAAAAGCTACAAAAGGGAGGCCTCAGAGACAGCAAAACTGTTATTAGTGCTAAGCAGCAGCCATAAGGTTTGTCAGTAAAAAAGTTATATAAGATGTAGAAAATAAGGACAAATAGAACAATGGTCAGTGTATTAATGCTCGGATAGAATAACTCACTAAGCTACAGAAAAGTATATCTAGCAAAAGTATATCTAACAGCTATTAGGAAGCTCTAAGCTTAATAATGGAGCTTTGTGCAATTGTGTTTTAAGGCTTACAAGCAGGTATTGTATTTGAAATAAGCAAGCATTTTTTTTACCAAAGGTACATGTGCTTATAGTGGTTGGATAGAACTGCTGTCAATATGCTTTGTGTGATTAGTCAAAAGGTTTTTAAAATGAGTTGTAACATGGAGTTCTTTGGCTACTGCCGAGAACATGAGCTGCTGGCATCTTCCCATTGTCATACCCATGTAATGAGGCTGATGCTGAAAATTACACACAGCTCGAGACAGTCTCAAGCTACGTCAGGGAAAGTTTAGGTTGGATATTAGGAAAAATTTTTCACTGAAAGAATAATAAAATACTGGAATTATCTTCCTAGGGAGGTAGTGGAATCACCATCTCTGGATATGTTTAAAAAAAGACTGGACTTGGCACTTGGTGCTATAGTCTGGTTGTGGTGTTAGGGCATAGGTTGGACTTGATGATCTTGGAGGTCTCTTCCAACCTCATTATTCTGTGATTCTGTGATTCTGAGCTGCGTTCCTCAGCAGCCCCGTCCCGCTGGTGCTTCGTACATGGAGCCCTCACCAGCAGCAGGCTGTGGGGAATGCTGCCCTCAGGGCTGCAGCAGCACCCCGGTCTGTGGCGCTGACGGAACCTGGCGCGTGTGCCCGCTGCAGGAGCCGCAGCCAGACGCTGAGCTCGGAGGCCAGCGTGGACGAGAGCGGAGTGTTCGAGAGCCTCAAGGCCGAGGCCGCCTCTCCTCAGCAGCTCTTCTCAGGGCTGGCCGGCATCCCCGCGGCCTCCATCGCCTCCGCGCCCTTCCCGGCCGGGCTGGTGCTGGGCTCGGCGGCCGGAGGGGGAGAAGTGTTCATCCAGATGCCGGCCCCGAGGGACGAGGGGGCCGGCCGGGCCGAGGGGACCCCGTTCCACCCCCGGGCCCCCGGCCATCACTTCCAGCACGGCCACCACCGCGGCTCCTCGCTGCTGCACATGGCCGGGGCCGACCGGCATGGCCACGCCGAGGAGGGCACCGAGGAACAGGCCGGAACGCCGGCCCCGGCGCTCTCGGAGCTCAAAGCTGTGGTTGGGTGGCTGCAGAAGGGACTTCCCTTCATCCTGATCCTCCTGGCTAAAGTCTGTTTCCAGCACAAGCTTGGTGAGCATTTGTAGAGCTTTTTGATCTGTGATTAGAGGGTGGTTGGGAGGCTTTATCAGGCTCTGATGTCCGATACGTTTATCCATGTGGCAGTGTCTAGATGGAGTCTGGCATGAAGGGAACATACTCAAACGCATGGGATAATGCATGTGATAAATTCCCCATAACTTTCAGTCCAAGCTGTTTTCATCTGGGTCAGATCCATCCATTTCCTGTCCTGAGCATGCTGTTCCTTTTCCCGATTTCTCCCTGACATTCCTGTGAGGCTGAGGATGTTACCGAGGCTTCTCCCTCAGAGCTCTCTCTAGGAGAGATGGGGAGAGCTTACACTGGTGACAGCAAAGATATCTATGTAGCACAGAGGGGTTCAGAGGGAGGAGACTCCTGTCTTACAGGTAGGGTGGAGGGTGTGAAATCAAGTCAAAGAGCATCAGCAGTTTCTCCCTGACAGAGCCTTTCCCTGCAGGAATTGCTGTGTGCATTGGTATGGCCAGCACCTTTGCCTACGCCAACTCCACGCTCCGAGAACAGGTGGCTCTGAAGGTGAGTTTGGCATTTTACCTTCTTCTGTATGGGGATTTATGAAGGAGTTTTCAATGAGTTAGAGGCAGGACCTCTGAGATTTTAGGTGAGGCAATTTATTTTCTTATTTTCTGCATAGGCAGGAAGGGGGAGTTCGGCTCACATCTTCACTGCATGGTTCAGAAGGTCCCAGACCCCTAGCTACAAGGCCTTTTAAGGATTTATTGGCTAATAAAACACTGCCAACAAGGATATTTATGTTTTTGACTCAGTCCTTACGGGTTTTTATCTTACAGTGTGAGCTTTCTTAGCCAATCATGTTATGACACACAAACCTACAGTATTGCATTCTAAATGTCTTGTTTAACCTTGTAATTACTTTTATTTTTCCTATATCTTAAACTCTAAAACTGTAAACCTTCCTCCACTTAATGTGTCTCTGCTTCAAACTATAAATCCACGTTCTTGCTTCTAGCACCTAAGTTTAGAAGCCTTTTCCAAAATCTCAAATCAAATCCTGTGTTTAATTCTAAGCTTTGGTTTACAGGCCCAGAGTTCTGAGAATTCTCTGCATTTTGGATTCCAGCACTTCTGTTCCCAGCAATCTTTTTCCATGCACAAAATACTATCTGTGATTGCAGTGTAGTGCTGAATGCATTTATATGTGCACAGATCTGTCTTCTCCTTCCTGTCTCTCCCCACTGATGCTCTCCCAAAGTCTTTGTCCTGCTTTTTTGTGAAATGTGGTGTAGTAAAACAAAGGAGGACAGGTCAGGGATGTTGTAATCTGCATCTCCCTCTGCCTGGCAGTGCCTATTCCAGCACTTCTCTGCACCTTGGTTTCCCATATGTACAGCAGAGATAATGTTTTGAGACGTTCAGCTGCAAGATTTCATAGATGTATTGCTTGCTAGTAGCTTTATAATGCTCTGGGCATTAATATGCTTAGAATGTAAAGAAACCAACAGATCTTTTCTTCTGATCTTCTGTGTTTGGAGAACAGTTCAACAGCACTCAAAGCACAAGGCTAGAATTCCTTTTTTGTCAAAATGACCTGGGTGGCACCAGTGCATGCTTGTATCTGCCAGCAGCAGTGGAGTCAATGTGATGCAGCATTGCGTGAGCAGATGAATAGCACAGCCCAGTAACAGATTGCTGTTGCCTTGCACTCTGCACCTCTGGCCTTCCAGCAGTGTGCCCCTTGATCTGCCTCCTCTAAATCTCAGCACAACAGGCCTGGCTGTTGAACAGCTACAGAGACCTCCTTTCTTAATAAATCAGCTCACAAGAAAAATGGGGGTTGTTTTCCTCTCAGGAATAAAATTTACTCCCCAAAGTTACCAAGGGCCAAGACTTGGGACAGTGACTTCTGCCATCCAGCTTGTCTGTAACTTTCCATATGTGTTGAAATGCAAAATTTCCACTTCTTTTGACCTTTACCTATTTGTTCAATCAAAAATGAATGTTCCAGAACCACCATGCTTTATGATAGCACCCAGATGTGCTGCAGGTAGTGGTGGGGTATATTTGATTTAGCTGAGCCTTCCACTGAGTGACTTTGGGTCCATTTATAAGAACTGTCACTCCAGCCAGGTGGCAGCTCAGAATTTAGGATGATACGTGGAATGGACTTTTTAAAATCTGTTTGTCATACATCATTTTAAGTATCAGGGGATTTTAGGTGTCCCAAGAAAGATCCCAACTTTGAAGATGCATTCTGCAAGTAATTCTGTCATTTTCACCAGCTTATTTCAATTAATTTCCATTGAAAAGGTTACATGAGTGAGAAGCATTTCTGCTTGTGTTTATAGATGTCTTTACCTTGCAGACTACTTCTTAGTCCTGTGTAAATCAGCTAATTACTGAACACTTTGTTACATATTTGCATCCCCTGGGTTGGATTTTTCAGCAGTTGAAGGCTCAGCTCAAGTCTTGATATTTTGACCTGAAATAACTCTGCTCCTTTTCCTTGCTCAGGAGAAGAGATCAGTGCTGGTTGTCTTCTGGATCCTGGCCTTTCTCACTGGAAACACCCTGTACTTGCTTTACACATTCAGCTCTCAACAGCTTTACAACAGGTGAGCAAAATCTGCATTGTACAGGATGGGAGCAGGTGATAAATGCCAGGGAGGAAAAGAGGGAAGCCCACTTCTCCCCCTCACTGTGGGAGGAACTGTGTGCCCCTAAAGGATCTGCTGTCTTTGTTACATCTCTGTAATAACTTCCAGTGCAGGAAAAGAATGTGTGTGTCCCCTTACAGGATTCTGCTTCTGTCAATAAAGGACATAAGCAGTGTTTAACTGGGCCAGGGTGTGATGGTGTCAAAGCAGGGTGGATCCTTCCAAAAATGACCTCTGAATTCCCACTGTGACCACTGCAGCTGAACATCAAGTGCAGGTGTCAGAGGCAGATGAGGAACTGACCCAGTGATTTTCCTCTTCAGTATCTAGATTGGAGTGTAGGACAGGAGATGAAGCAGCAGTTTTACTCCAGTGTTCTCAGGGCACTTGGATCTGAGATAAATTAAGATAGCCTTGCCTTTCAAATCCTGACTGAGTTAGTTCTCAAATACAGAAAGATTTCTGCTCATGGATTTGGTTCACAAGTTAATGTAAAGCAGACAGGAATAATCACAGGTAGGAAACAGAGAAAAGGGGAGATTTGAGAAGGTTTGAATGTGGGGCTGAATGGGAGAGGCCAAGCCATGGGATTGTCTGGATGGAATGGAAAAGGAGGAACAGGAGTGGCAGAAAGATGTGGAAGTGAAATCTGTTTGCACCACAGGGTAACGGGGTGTCTCTAAGAAGGTGGCCAAGGTTAAAAGCATGAATGGGACTAGTTCAAAATAAAGGCTAAATCATCTAAATGAAAGGGATTTTAGCAATTTGGGGCCATCTTACAGGCAGTTTAGAGTGTGGTTTATTACCAGTGGGCAGGCTGGACCACAGCTCCAGGAAAAGCCCTGTTCTGTGAGTGCTGCAGTGGTGTCATGCCCAGGCTGGTGTATCTCTTGCTTGCCAGACCTGGGACTATTCACAAGCCAGGCTTGTCAAATTAGAAATGTCTGCTTCAGTTTTGTTTCTTTCTTTCATTTTTCATTTCCTGATTTTTTTTTTCTTATTTCTAGTGCATGAATAGTAGTAAAGTCTCTGATTCTGTTTCTGTTTTTAGGGTGTAATTTTACCTGTTGTGCTGTGCCAGTGTTGTGAGTATTTTCAATTCATGTTCAGGCTTTTCATTTTGGGTTGGTTACTTTGCTTTTTTTGCTTTTTTTTTCTTTTTTTTCTTTTTTTTCTTTTTTTTTACTGTTAAGTTTTTGCTTTCTACCATGAGGCTTTAGCAGGTAAATACTCTGAGGTTCCAAACAGACTTTATGGGTGTTTGGGCCCTGCTTTGTGCCAGTGGGCAAACCTGCTGAGCCCTGTAGAAATGGGCAAGAGCAAAGTCAGGAGGCCCAGAGGAAGCCCAGATCTGATTTGTGTGTCCTCCTCCTCTTGTCCTTGAGAACTTCCCTGAAGTTCAGGGCACTTCCTGGGCTCTCTCTAGCCAGCAGTGCATACAAGGAGCTTGAGCAAGCTTCTCCTCAGTGGTATTTGAGCTTTGGTGTCTCTTTCAGCCTTATATTCCTGAAACCCAACCTGGACAGGCTGGACTTCTTTGACCTGATGTGGATTGTGGGCATTGCAGACTTTGTGCTGAAGTACCTCACCATTGCCCTGAAATGTCTGGTCGTGGCCCTGCCCAAGATCATCCTCGCTGTCAAATCCAAGGTAGGAGACTCTTCTTGAGGCACACACCTTTGTCTCTGATAATCCAATACCTTTACCACACATTTGCAGCATGGAACCAGAGAATCAGGGAATGGTTTGAGTGGAAAGGGACCTTAAATCCCACCCAGTGCCACTCCAGCCTGGCCTGGGACACTCCCAGGGATCCAGGGGGGCCACAGCTACTCTGGACACCCTGTGCCAGTGCCAAATCTGGATGGAAGAATAAAACCATTAAAATCTGCTGCTAAACCTTTGGCAGAAAGTCACCTGGCATCAAGGGGTGGTTTTTGAGCCATCACAGACCTGAGCAAGGGTTTGGTACTACCAGCAGTGATTAAAGTCCAGGGAGGTGAGGTGAGCATTGCTTGAGGAAGAATCAGTGCTAGAAGCTGTTTTCTGAGTGATCTCTATAAATTCACATTTCTGAAGCAGGAACCTCTTCATTTCCTGGGAAGAAATTGCAAATATTTGTCTCTTTGGCTTCCCACTTAGGTGAAAGAAGTAACTGGGTTAAACTGAAGCCACAAAAGACAGCACCAGTTCTAACCATAGGAGAAAAAAAATTAATTAAATGCTTCACACATTTAAATGTTTATGAAACCACATGTAGACTAAGCCTAACTTTTAAAAGTTTCTCTCTCATTTAAAACACCTTTTGAGATGTTTTTATTTTACATCTCTAATGCTGACTCTTCCTCCACTCAGTAGTGTCCCTAGTTCAGGGGCAGATGTAGCAATGTGTATTATTTGCATTCAGCAAAGGAACCTCTGGCAGCTGTTGGGATGAAAGGCACTTTGCCTTGCAAGGTACCAGCAGTAATTGCTGCAAGTCTCAGGCAGGGCACTTCAGGGGGTACCTAAACTGGGAATAGTTTTACTTAGAAATGACATGGGTGGCAGGGGAGTTGAGCAGTTTGTTCCTGCACAGTAGGGCTATCTGAGATGGTTATTAATTTATTTCTGGCAATTGTCCAGCTTTTTTTTTTTTTTCCTTCTATTATTATTATTATATTTTGGGAGATTAATGTGCTGGGTCAGAGCATAATCCAGGCTGGGGAGGGAGGGAGAAGTGATGTGAATAGTCTTCCCAAGATAAATGGCAGTGTTGGAAAAGGTTCACAGCCTTTGCTTGCTTGTCTGAGAGCCATCCCAAGTACTCATTAATCCTTGTCAGGAGAGAAGAAAGAGAGGGGGTCTTTATTTGCAGCTCCAGTGAGAGGCTGGTAGGATCACATCTGTCAAGGGCCTGTAATGACTCAGAGCACAGATGCTTCATTTTTAATATCTTTTTCTGGAGTGCAATGTGTCCCACTTTTTTTAAGCCCCTTTTTGTCTCAGGATGTTGGGGATGGTCTCTCTGTCCCCTGGCACTGTGGGTACCCACCACCAGATCTGGGTTTGGTTTGGGGGTTCTCTCCCCCACTCTGCAACCTTGAATCCATCCGAGCATGAGATCTGGTGTAACAAATTAAGCAAGGTCAAACTGGGATGGGAGGGCTCCAGGGGAACCACAGGACACCCTGGAAATGGTAATTGGTGATCACACACATAGCTGAGCTCCTTCCCTGGGCCTGCTGACCCCTGGCCTGCACAGGTGAGGGATTTAAATGGAACCTTTTGCTCAGTTAGAACACTTCTAGTGCAATTTGTGCACATTAACTTTGACCAACATTTTTATCAATTTTTTTCTCTGACTACTTGCCAGATACAAAGTTATTGTCTCCCTCCCAATGTCCTCCAAGTAATATTTCTGCCTGAAGCCCAGCTTGGAGTTTATGAACTTCTGGGTAGTTGTCACTTAATGGTAACAGGCTACTGGAGAAATACAAATTTAACTCAGTAGAGCTCGATTTTTTCAAGGTGCGTATTTATATATAATGAGAAGGTTTTGTGCCAATTTAACTGCTCAGAACAGCAGCCTCTTGCTCCCCTGGTAGTGGGCCTGAAGTGGAGGTTGCTGCACTCTCAGGGCTGGAGTTCAGCAACTACTGGCAGTCAGCAGTAGATCCTAAAACTTGCCCTTGGATGGGATTTGGGGAACTTTAATCATCCTGCACTCAGCCTCTGAGCTGGCTCTTTGGATTTTCCTCATTCTGGAAGTTGAAAGGCACTTGCAAAGCTAGCCTGGCTTTTCCTGCTGCTCCTCAGGATCCTGGTCCTCTCTGAATACTGTGTGGTTTTTGCTTTTATTTATCAGTCTTTATGTCCCCCCTCATTCTTGTCTGTAAACTGAACTCCAAAAATTTTTTGAGTCTTTTTTCAGATTGTTAATTCCAGATCTTATTAGTCTCTTCTGGACTGTCTTCATTCCCTCCCTGCTTTCTAGACCATTTCTCCAACCTGTCAAGGTGAATTTGGAATATAATCCTTCTTTCCAGTTGTGCTCACAGCTTAGTGCCTGCTGTACATTACTTTGTTCCATCGAGATCATCAGTGACAATAGTGAATTGCACTAAACTCTGCTTTCATCAGTTGGATGCATCTTTTCATTTTGAAAGAAAACACAGGAAAAATCTGTGTTAGAACACTCAGTTCCCCCCATCCAAAATACCTGGGTCATGTTTTCCTAGTATGGCCCATCACAGGAAGGGCATTTTTTGTTGTATACTTCTGTGATTTGTAGCATCAGTTTATGCTTTAACTGAGAGAAAGGGAACTAAAATTGAGGGGCAGAAAAAGTTTGTCTTTGCACAGTAGGCAAAACCCATCATCATGGGGGCTTGAAGTGTGAAGCATGAAAGCTGCTTTATTGTGAGGGTACAACCAGCCAGAGTTCTCCAAGCCTGAGTAACTCAGAAATTCAAGATCTCTGCAAGCAACTCCTCCAAAGAACGAAGGAAGACTTAAAATTTTGATGAAATAACCCCAGACTTTCCCAGGTTCCAAACCAACCTGGAAAACAGATGCACCAGGAGAGGCTGTGAGACTCCATTCAGACTGGAATGCAAGGAAAGGAGAGAAAAGCAGGAGAAGGAAGGTAACCCCATCACCAGACTGGTCCCAGAGCTCTGTGGAGTTTCCAGAGGATCCCACCTGTGCTGGAGGTGTCCCTTCCTCCCCTCAGGCTGTGACAGGGACACTGAGCTGGGTACAAGTTTCAGTAACAGCTGAGCTCATCATTCCTTTGGAAGGGAGGGCTGGGCTGAAGGCTCTCCATTAAAAAAGGCAAATAAGATCATTTGGTTCAATATAAAATGAATTAAAGTAAATTAAACTGCAGGAGCCATGTGGCCTGCAGAGGCTTCCATTGTTGTGCACACATCAAGGGCAGCTTTTCATTTTCACTGCTAAGGAATGACAGCTTGAGGGGGGTGGAATTCAAAATCAGGAAATAAATAATAAAAAGACACAGTTGCCAAAGATTTCACTTAGGAAATCCCAGGTGCCTGCAAGCTTCCCATCCCCTCCTCATGTTGTTATCAGCAATCTGAGCTAGAGAAGTGAGTGAAACATGGGGGGAGGGAGAAAGAAAATCAAACCAAATAGGACTGTAAGAAACTGTTACCCCAGTTCTTGCATCTGTGTGTCCCTATCCCTATAGGGGACAAACATACCATGGATATTTTAATACATAAGAAAGGCCCTAAGTGAGAATTTTCTCTTCATGCTCAATGCAGAGCCAAGTTACAGGGGACTGCATTTCCAGGAGAGTGAAAATGCAGAAGGAGAACACTGACATTGGCCCCTCACTGCAGCTTTGAAAATACTTGCTTGGTGTCTTTTTCCAGTGGATTATTTTATTAGTGCTTTTTATTTTAAAATTACCATCTCATCAAGTCTGGTCAGAGAAAACTTGGCCTGGATGTGGCAGCAATTTCAAGTTCTGCACTTGGACCTTGGACCAAAAACCTTCTTCAAGTGTACAGCTCTGCCATGGAACCTGGCACATTAATTTCCATATTCCTTCTGAAACTGCACAAGACAGACACAGAACTCTCTGGAGAGAGGGGTAGGGATAGGGAGGATTGACAACTTGGAAGGGAGGAAGTTAGGGAAGGGCTTGGGAAAATTGGCAACTGGGAAAGGGAGGGGATTAGGGAGGAGAACAGGGGGCAAACGTGGATTCAAAGCAAAACACACCACAACCCTTCATGGACAGCAGTCTGAGCTTGGGTCCTCTTGGGTCACAGGAACTCCAGGATGCTCTGCAAGGACTTTTCCCTGCTGCAGCTGGGACTGATGTGCTGTCCCAGAGTCAGAAGTGTGGGATTTATTATTTACAAAATTAAAAACTAACTGAAGCATAAGAGCAGGTACTGAGGAGTGGGGACTCCTCTGTCCCCCTCCCTAAACTTGCTTTGCAAGTCACTGCTACTGAACTTTTTAAAAATCATTGCTCTTCAGTGGTTTCCCAGTTTAACTTGCCAGTTTAAGATACAAAAGATGGGATTTTCAGAAGTGTTGTGCGCTAACTAAAATTCTCATTTTCCCCTCTAGTCCCACCTTGACATTATTCCTCATTAGTCCTGCATGGATTTTCACCAGCATCCTCCATGCCACAATGCTGTTTACTGTGTAAATCTGGGAGTTTGCTCTGTTTTACTGCTCCTACCCAACACCTGATCTATTGGCACCATGACCTGGAATCTCAGCAGAGCCTGCTCTCCTCTGATCCAAACTGCCAGCAGGACTCCAAAGCTTTTTCAAGCACGTTTCAGAATATGCCCTAATGCTGCTGCTGGCAGCAGAACAAGTGAGACTTGGAGCTTCCCTCGAGTGCTAATCACACCTTGCAGTTGCCTCATTGCAACTTCTCTCACTTCTCTTGCATGCCCCGCTCTGACTGCGCTGTGTCAATCCTTGCTGTGCCTCTGTTCCTTGTGGGGAGGCACACTGAGGCAGAGCCTTATGGCAAAGGAAACTGCACACTGAGCCCGGGGGGAGTCAGCATCCCCTCTGCTGCTGCAACCTGCCCCCTTTGCTGTGTCTAGCTTGGGATTCCATTTTTAATTACACTGTTCCATGGTATTTTTCTGTGAGGCTTCTCCCCTCCATCACCACGTCCCAAGGATGAAGGTGGGGGATTGAAAGAAGCTGTTGCAGCAACTGGAAAGTTCACAGGAAACAAAGAGAAGAACGTTCTACAAGTTCAAGTTGAGTTGCTACACTGGAGAATTAAATCCTCTCCTTTGCCAAATAATTCTTGTGTGAATCTAGAGAAGTCAGGTAGAGCTGCAAACTGAAGTCAGGGCTGCAGCTTTTAATGGTAATGTGAGCTAGAAAATGAAGTGTTTTATAAAAAGTCTAATCCCAACACCTCAGCAAGGACACCAAAACAACCTTGCCTTGACCTTTGTCTTTCTGTGTCTCAGGTTCTCATTTAGAAAATGCAGAGAAAAGCTGTCCCTGAGGTCAGCCAGCAGCCTGAAAATAAAGGAGGTTTAAAAGAGTTTTCTGTAATGCTGATGTCGTAAAGGCACTGAAGAAATTCTAGGAATGTGCTCCTCTGAGCAGAGCTGAAACGGCAGGAAAGGATCAGATGCAGATCTGCCATCAGGTAGTGAGGATGTAACAAAATACCGAGAAATTCCATGCAAAAACCTTCAGTGCAGTACAGACTGAAACTCTGGATGTACAAAAGGGAAAATGCAAATGTGTGAAAATGCTGAATTCCCCTCTTTCAAAAGAAGTGCTTGGTTTGAAGTGTAGAAATGGTATTTCTGTGTGGTGAAGGAGTTCAGAAAATGGGGGGGATTATACACAAGTCATTGACTTGTGGTTTTAACTGAGCACTGAAAAAAAGGAATCAAAATTTCACCATGTGGTATCTGAGGCTCATCAGCAGAGCTGCTAAAATTAGATCCCAGCACAGCCCTTCCCCACGTGTGCTAATGAAGTGTTTGATAGCAGCAGCAGCTCCCTCAGAGGAAGCAGGGCCAGCACTGCCCCTCTCACTCTGGGCCAGGCTTAACCCTTGGTGAGAGCAGAGCCTTTCTGCTGTTCCCTACCCCCAGCAGGAGCCAGAATTCCAGGTAATATCCTATTTCATCTCTGCAGTTCAGCTCCCACACAGCCCAGTCCTGCACTGGAGCTGGCTCACAAGCCCACCAGCAAGATTCTGCTGATCTTAGAGAGCTCTTCAGTCTCTCCAGTGCATTCCAGAGAAAATTCCCAGACTTCCACAGGTTTTTGTGACATAGGAAAAGTCACCTGACAGAGACAGGCTTTGCCTTATTTCTGCTGTGGTGCCAAATCAGATGCACAGGAGAAATAATTATGTTTGTGCTTCGTATAACACACAGTTCTAATCTTGAAGGAAAAAAAAAAAAAAAGCTGATGTATTTTAGGTGGATTTTCAGACAAAATACAGCTTGAAACAAAGATTTGACTTTGAAAAACGTAACCTAGATAGCTAAGAGATAACAGAGCTGAGAAGTGGCAGACAGGTATGTTGAGTGTGCTTCCCACTGATGGGTGCTGTCTGCAGTAAGTTGCTGCTATCAGAAATCTACATTTTACTGCTGAAATTGTAGGGAGCAATCCTCATTTCGCAGGCTTCTGGCTCAGAAGGAGGGCCTCACTTCTGCAGCAGCCCTTTGTAGGCTGATTATTTTTGATTTTCTGGCACTTTTCCTCATTTAAAAAAGGGGCTGGTGTGGTGCACTGAGATGCTTGAAGTTTTTAGTTCTCTTGAAGTGATGCCCAGCTGCCCTTGTACTGCTCCCTCCCTGCTGGAATAACTAAATTTACCAACATTTAATGGTCAGGTGGGTGCTGCTAAGGGGCTGCAGGGAGGGGTGCATCCCTTAAAACATCTCTTCACTCTTGGGAGGCTGTCAGCAAGCTTCTAGCTGCTAAAAAATCCTGCTACCACTGGAAAGTGAAGGAAAGGGAATTCTGGCAGCTCTGGGGAGGGTGCAGAAGTTGTTGGGTTGGGTGCTGAAGTTTGTCACTCGCTGCCACCTCCAGCCTGGCTGTGCCCTGGGGTGCCCCAGCTTTGCTCACAGCTCGCTGTGGACTCGGTGGTGAGCAGGAGCAGCTGGGGCAGGCTCCAGCCGGGATGCTGGATGTGGGATGTGGGATGTGGGATGCAGCAGCTCCGGCTGATGCAATGGGACAGCAAGCAGTGACCTGGCCCGGCCCCGCGGCAGGACGGATGGAGGGGGGCGGCTGCGAGGGACGGGCTGCAGAAAGCAAAATTCGCTGCCTTTTTCTTGCTGGGAGCTTTCATCAGAGCCCTGCGGAGGGACGCGCTGACAGCGTTGTCATTTCTGGCCCAGCAGCGCCCAAAATAAACCGTGATTGCATCGCAGCATCGGGCTGGGAGAGGCCTGAGTGCTAATTAAATAAATTGGGGCGGTTCCGACCCCGGACTGCTGCTGCTGCTGCTGCTGCTGCCCCGGGTTGTGCGGGAGAGGGGACGGGATGGGCAGGGGATGGTGAGGGGGATGGGGTAGGATGGAAGGGAAATGGGGATGGGGATGGGGTGGGATGGAAGGGAAATGGGGATGGGGTGGGGAGGGGAATGGGATGGGGAATGAGGTGGGATGGAAGGAAAATGGGCTTGGGGATGGGGATGGGGAGGGATGGAAAGGAAATGGGGATGAGGATGGGGTGGGGATGAGATGGGGATGGGGAGGGGAATGGGATGGAAAGGAAATGGGGATGGGGAGGGGGATGGAGTGGGGAATGGGGTGAGATGGAAGGGAAATGGGGATGAGGATGGGGTGGGGATGGGATGGGGAGGGAATGGGATAGAAAGGAAATGGGGATGGGGATGAGATGGGGATGAGATGGGGAGGGGAATGGGGTGGGATGGAAGGGGAATGGGGATGGGGATGGAGAGGGGATGGGGTGGGGATAGGGATGGGGATGGGGAGGGAAGCAGCCGGTCCGATAGCAGCCGCTGGTGTGAGCTCACTCGCATCCCGCGGGACATGAGCTCACTCAGTGCAGGGCTGTGGGAAGGATTGCATGGTCGGGAGCTGCAGGATGGCCTGCGAGTGATCTCATCGCAGCCCCCGGGGAAGGGCGCTGGCTGCTGCCAGCCCGGCTGCGAGGACTCAGTCTCCATCCCCACCTCAGCAATTAGTGATTGGCCTGCGATGACATCACTGATGACAGAGCTAACTGGGACAACACAGCAAAATTCCAGGGGAATTTCCCCTTCTCCAGGAGCTTAGCAAATAAAAGGATTTTGACAGGACAAACGCAAATCTTTCAGCCCAGATAATGTCATTGCAGATTAAGCATCCTTCTGCCACCAGCTGTCCCTGTAAACAGTGTGGGACAAAACAAACTGGGGGTGACCCTAAATGAGACACTTATTCAGGCTTTGGTGAAGGTTGACAAAGGATGATGTCCATTCTTTGAGTCTCTTTTGGGAGAGAAGCATTTCAAGCAGCACACTTCCCCTGCCCCCAACCTTTCCTTCCTTGAGGTCTTCTGGAAGGTTTGGTCCCTTTGAGATTTAAATGCCCTGAGGGTTTAATTTTCAGCACCAGTGCACTGCCCACCCACCTGAGGGGGAGGGGAAGGATGCTGTCAAACGAATTATTTGATTCTTTGGGATTACCTAAAAAGTTGACATGAAGAGTGAGGTCACTTAACATTTAATCCTTGTACCTTCAGAAGGGGTGTAAGGTCAGAGATCTAACTTGCTTTCCTTTTCTCACTACTAATAATATCTACAATTCACATCATATTAACCTTTGTTTTTCTGCAGCATTGTCCACACACACAATTTATTGCCTATCCATAACCTGCTCTAAAGTTTATAATTCCAAAATGCTGCGCAGCAGATTTCATTGATTCCAAATTTCACGTTTAAGTTGACAGTAAAAAACCAAGTGAATATTTCAGACTTGTTCTGCTTGTGTTCAGCTGAGCCCTGTGGAGGAACGAAGGGATATTTATCCCTTCTGGGCACAGAGCTGAGGGGCTGCAGAAAAAGCTGCATTTCATGAGTGAGGTCTCTGCACCATTTAACAGTGCAGTGATCAGTGAACAGCAGCCCTGCACAAATTAAATGTTCTTCTTTTGACTTGCTGATAATAAGGACGGTCTCACTTGCCTGCTTGTCTTGCAGGGAAAGTTTTACCTGATTATTGAGGAGCTGAGCCAGCTGTTCCGCTCCCTGGTGCCCATCCAGCTGTGGTACAAATACATCATGGGGGACGATCCATCCAGCAGCTACTTCCTGGGTGGCATCCTCATCATCATGTACAGCCTCTGCAAGGTGAGCACCACCTGCTGAACATTCCCTGGGGGCTGGGGCAGGAGCAGAGGGGGCAGGAGCAGGGAGCAGCACGGCTGAAGGGACAAATGCTCCTTTGGCTGTGGCTGTCCCTGCCCAGGAGCACTGCCTGCTTCAGCTGCCAAAGGCATTTTGCTGCCCAGCATGTGGGCATTGCTGGGCTGGGGGAGGATCTGAGCCTGCTCCCAGGGTTGCATCAGACTCATGAAGTCATTGCTGCTCTGCTCATCCCTCTCTGCAGAGGCTGCAGGAGCAGGGGAGCTGGTCCTGGGGGAGCAGTGCTGGCTGGCTGCACACCTCCAGATGTCACACAAAGGCAGGCTGCAGACACTCACATGGCTGTCTCTGAGCTTTCCTCTGCCACTCACAGCTCTGAGTGCAGCAGGGAGAAAAAGCAGCAGCCAAGTCCTGCCTGGATAAAACAGGTCCTGTTCTAGGTGCTGCTCTGGCTGATACAAGTGATGGGCAGGAGTAATTCATGTTTCCTCAAACATAAGAGCACAAAGTTGGTACAGTTGTGGGTAGGTGTGATTTAGTCAGAGGAGTCCCAGGTCTAGAAATAATTGTATTTCCAGTGGTGTGTGTTAAACCCTGCCCAGGGGCAGAGCAGTAGCTGAAGCAAACTGTGATAAACCAGATGTTCACCCCTCTGAGAAGGGCCAGGCTTGCTCCATCCCAGATCCCTGTCTGTGCCTGTGGCTTTGCAGGAGCAGACTGAAAAATGAGGAGCAGAGAATATATCCAAGCTGGAAACAGCTCAGAGGAGCAGAGCAATGCTGCATTAGAGAGTATTGTGCAGGAATAGGGTCCTGCAGCCCCTCCTGTTGAGGGCTTTACAGTTCTTGTGAGCAAATCAGGCAGAGGAGGTCGTGGCCAATGCTCACAGCAGCTCAGAGCCCCAGCCAGGAGCAGAGCAAGCAGAGCCAGGACAGGAGCACACGAGGCCAGTGCAGCTCCCTGCACAGCCCTCAGCCCCAGCTCCTCTCCCTGTGCTGGGGGGAGGATTGGTGGCCCTTTCAGAGGTGTCATTACTGGAGCCACTGCAGTACCCACCCCCCTGCCCCTCTGGCAGCTCAGGTGGGCAAGAGCAGATTTTGAGTGATCTTTCTTGTTCCCTGCTTGCAAAAGTAACTCAACACCTGGAAGAGCGATGCAGTTCCAGGTGCCATTTCTTGCACCTCAGAGTGGGAAGATGCAGGTGGGGAATTCTGCTCCTTGGAGCAAGGGGAGCCAAGCTCAAAAGCACAGCTGGGAGGAAAGGGCCTCCCCAGCCAGGGTCAGAGGGGCACTCACCCAACAACTGCAGGGCACAGCTCAGGGGGAGGATGAGGAGTCACCCCAGCTGCTGGGGGGTGCAGAGCAGGGGGATCTGCAGCAAGGCACAGCTCAGCTGGACACCAGCACCTTCAGAGCAAGCTCAGTGCCTTGGTTTGAACAGACAGGTGTCTGCTCAGGAAGGCAGGAGACTCCCCTAAAATGGAAAATGTAATCCCCTCCCTCCAAATTATTATAATTCTGAAATTAAGGGGCTCTCAGGCAAAGATGTGGGAGTAGGAATAACAGTTCTTTAGTAGGGAAGAAAATAAAAATAAATTAAAAATGCAGTAATACAAAACAACCCTGTCAGAGTCAGAACATGCCCTGTCCCCCTGTGTGTCAGGGAGGTGGCAGCAGTCCCATCCCAGGGTGGCTCAGCCCTCCTGCAGTGCCAGCTGTGCTTCTGCTGGAGCAGGATCCTGCACAAGGGGGGAGTTTTCCTCTGGAGCTCCAGGGCTGGGGGAGATGGGCCTGGGCTCCTCTGGGAATGCAGTGGGAAGAAAGCTGCTCCTCTGGGAATGCAGTGGGAAGAAAGCTGCTCCTCTGGGAATGCAGTGGGGAAGAAAGCTGCTCCTCTGGGAATGCAGTGGGAAGAAAGCTGCTCCTCTGGGAATGCAGTGGGAAGAAAGCTGCTCCTCTGGGAATGCAGTGGGAAGAAAGCTGCTCCTCTGGGAATGCAGGGGGCAAAGGCTGCTGTGCTGTTCCCAGGTCAGATTGGATCCAGGTAGGAATGTTTGGCTCCTCCCCTGGGCAGAGCATCTCCCCATGGATGATGGAATTTTCTCAGCCATGCAGGGACACTCAGTGGCCATGGACAGCAGAGATCTCCTGGAGGGAGGATTGGCTGTGGGAGAGATAAAGAAAAAACTTCCCCATGAACAGCAGAGAGCTGCCCCAGCTCTGACAGATTGAGATAGAACACACACCCCAGCTAAATCCTGCATTTCTGACCTAAGACACTCAGCCATGAGCTGAGGCCTCCAGGGCTGAGCTTAACTAGAGCTGCTGGGCCCAGGAGCTGTGGGAGAAGAGCTCAGGTGGGGCTCCTCAGGGCCTGGCAGAGGTGGGAACAGCTCCTTAGGGGTTAACTTGATGTTCCTGTCCTGTGAAGCCTTCCTAGGGAGTGTTGGGGTGATCTAGATTGGAAAAGCCTTTTGGGAAGTCTGTCCAGGTCAGGGTGAGCCCTGTGTGCACACCAAGGCTTTGCTTGGCAGTGGAAGGGAAGGGGGAGCTCCTCTCCCAGAGCAGGGCACAGAGCCCTGGCTGTGCCCATCCCATTTCCAGTCCCCAGAGCTGCAGCTCCAGCTCCTTGCCTGAGACACTGAAAATATCCCCAGAGGAGCCCACATTAGCAAAGCCACAAACCACATTAGAAGAACCACAGAAGCCAGTTTGGCACTGAGAGCTGCTGGCAGAATTCCAGGGCTCAGCTGGGGCTGGGGCTGCATCCCCTTCCCCTGCACAAGGGCAGGAACTCTTCCAGGAGGCTGCTTGGAGCTGAGCTGGTGCCTCTGTCTGCACTGTGGAGCCATGAGCCTCTGGTTTGGGTGGAGAAATCCCAGGTGCTCACACACAGAGCATCCAGGTTGGATTTTGTGCCTGTCCTGAGCAGCAGCACTCCCTGTGTGTGACCCAGTTGTGAACTGATGGCTGGAGCAACAAAAATGGGTGAGAAATGGGTGTTTGCCCTCTGAAACACGCAGCTTTTGGGGGTGCAGGGGGGGATGAGGGGGGAACATGGGCTGGGAGAGAGGGGACATTGGAGCAAAGGCACTGGAGTCATGCTGGAAGCAGGAAAAGCTGGGGCTTGCACTAGGAGAGCAAGGGCTGACCCCCATCCTTGGTGGGAGATGGGATGTCTGAGGCAGTGGGCAGCCCCAGGTGTGGCTGCTGAGGGGGAGCATTACTGGAAGGAGCCTGGGAGCCCTGTGTGTGCTGCCTGGAAGCACCATTGGTCCTGCATTTCCTTCCCCATGCGCTGCAGGATGAGCTCATTGGCATTCCCTGCAGTGAGCCCACTCAGTCACTCTCACCAAAAACACTCCAGCAGCAGAAAGCCAACTCCTCTCTCTGTCTCTGTGCCTTTGCAGTGCTCCTTTGCACAGCCTCCCCTGCCCAGGTGACAGCCAGCAGCTCCTGCTGTGCCACCAGCCCCAGCTGATCAGGGCTGCTCCTTGCACTGTCACTTTTTCACATCTTCTGTAGTTCAGTGAGCTTTCCTTGTGCTCTGCCAGCAGGTAGGGGAGAGAGATGATGGACTGGGTTAGGTTTTCAAGCTATTTTCATTTTCTTTTCCCCTTCCTCCTTCCCTTTCCCTTCCCTATGAGAATGGGTTCATTTTAGCCCTTCCCTGCTTAGTGGGGTGGACAATTGTCCCCAGCCCAGTCTGGTGCCAGCCCCTCTCTGTGTCCTGTGAAGTCCCCACTTTGCAGTCAGCTGCTCCCAGAGCTTTTCTGGCCACCCTTCCCCACTGTCATTTCCCATTTATTACATATTTCATGATCACTATGAGATCTTTTTTGGCACTATTGCTACTTTTCCCCCTCTGAGTATCCATTTGGAGAATGTTTGCTGAGTTTCTGGTCTCACACACACACACACAGAGGTTTTGTGAAAATTATCTAAAATGGGATGTGCTTTTTGCAGTCTTTTGACATCTGTGGCCGTGTGGGAAGTGTCAGGAAGGCACTGAAGGTCCTTTGCACCCCCCAGGTAAGGAGTTAAACGTGGAGGAGCAGTCCCAGAGGTGGAACCTTATTCTTGCTGAATGATAAAATGGAAAATTGCTCAGGACCACAGAACAAAACAACGTTAGCCCACGGCTGGACAAGCTGGAGGCTCCTGTCAGGCGTGTCAGGGACCTTTTCTGACATCTGCCCTGCCCCAGCTGTGGTGAGAGATTGTTCCTGTTCTGTCTGATTGGAAGCTCTGTGGAATGTGGATTAATCCAACTGCAAGGAGCTGACAAAACTTTGTAGTGCAGAGTGTGGCAAGGACTTTGTGGTGCCTGATGTGCAGTGACATTAAAAGGGACCCTGCCATGCACAGGAATTATCCCAGGCACTGCATTCCACAGGGCTGATATTTAGACCTGCTGCAGTGACTTACATTTTAAAAGGGTAAATCAAAGGCTGTAGAGGAAAAGAACCTCATCAAAGTTAGAACTTATCTTGCTTATTCCCTGAGCTTGGGCTGGTCATTTTCCCTCAGCAGGTTTCTGTTTCCCCTAAATTTGTTACAGTGGGAGAAGCAGCATTTACCTTCCCTGTGTCTGGAGGGGAAGTGGGCAGCCTGTGGGCACAGCTGCTGTTACTCTTTCTTCTATTGTCTCCTGCTTGCTAATAATAACAATAATCCCTCCCTCCATCTAAACACCCCTGCAAATGATGCTGAATTAATCCTCTCAGCTCCCTGTTGAGCTCATTAAATTCCATTATCCTTGCTGCACGAGTAGAGGCCCTAAAAGATGGAGTCAGCTCCAGGGGAGGGGCAGACAGGGAGCAGAGAGCTCCCCACTCCTCTGTGCCCACATCCCCCTTCCCCACCAGTGACAGGACGCCCTGTGGGGAACCTGGGGGTGAAAAGCAATTTTTGTGCACATTTCCCCTTCCAGCCCTTTGACATGGGGTCTGTTTCTCCCCACCTCTCCCTGACAGAGCTATGGAGCCCGTGCCACGAGCCAGCAGTGCAGTGAGGCAGGAGACATCTGTGCCATCTGCCAGGCAGAGTTCAGGGAGCCTCTGATCCTTCTGTGCCAGGTAAGCCCCAGACCTGCCCTGCTGCCATTCCTGCAATGAGCTCCTGCAGTGGGGAGAGGCACAGCCAGCCTGGGGACTCCTGAAGGCCTTTGCTGGCTCTTGGTCCAGCTCCTGGTGGGTCTTTCTTGCCCTGGGTGACCACTGGGTTGTGGCAGCTGATGGGGTGGGCACAGCCTTGTGGGGCAGGGACTGCAGACCCTGGGGCTAGAGTGAGCAGAGCTTTACCTGCCCCTTCAGAGGGCTGGGTAGATTTAAAACTCCCTTTTGATAACAGGGTTATCAAAGAAAGCCATCCTGTGCACCAAAGGTGCCTCTTAGCCTTGCTAAGAGTGAACATCTGTGCAGATGTTTCCAAGCTGGAAGCCCCAAGAAGCTGCTTTGGATCTGCTTGGCAGAGCTGGGATTTGAGGAGTGACATTGCTGCTGACTCCTCATGTGTGAGGAGTTCCCAGCTTCTCACAGCTCCTCGTGCTCCCTCCTTGCTCTTTTCCTGCTTTTCCTGGATGCTGTGTGCTGGGGAGAGCCCAGGGAGGGGTCAGAGCAGAAACCAGAGGATGAGAACAGACATTTACTGAAAAGGGGAAACTGGGACTGCAGAATAAAGCAGATGCAAGGAGCAGGGGGAAGAAAGAGGTTGTTAGAGCTTAGTGAGGACTTAGGGGACTGAGGAGGGAGATACAGTAAAGGAAAACCCTCTCAGCTCCCCTGTCAGTCCAGGTGTTGTAGACCTTTGCAATGTTTCTTTCTAGTGGTGTTATTAAAAACCAGAGCTTTGGAAAACTGGGGTTAATTCCCAAACCCTGTGAGTGCCAGCTGCACCAGCTGCCTCCCCGCTGGGGTGTGTCCTGCTTTGAACAGACAGGTGTCTGCTGAGGAAGGCAGGAGCCTCCCCTGAAATGGAAATTGTAAATGTAAACCCCCTCCCTCCAGATTATTATGGTCTTTGAAATTAAGGGGCTCTCGGGCAAAGGTATGGGAGCAGGAATAACAGTTCTTTACTAGGAAAGTTAAAAATACAAATGCAATAGTACAAACAAACAAAAACAAACCACTGCCAGAGTCAGAGCAGCCCTGTCCCCCTGTGGGTCAGGGAGGTGGCAGCAGTCCCATCCCAGGGTGGCTCAGCCCTCCTGCAGTGCCAGCTGTGCTTCTGCTGGAGCAGGATCCTGCACAAGGGGGGAGTTTTCCTCTGGAGCTCCAGGGCTGGGGGAGATGGGCCTGGGCTCCTCTGGGGATGCAGTGGGGAAGAAAGCTGCTCCTCTGGGAATGCAGTGGGGAAGAAAGCTGCTCCTCTGGGAATGCAGTGGGGCAGAAAGCTGCTCCTCTGGGAATGCAGTGGGAAGAAAGCTGCTCCTCTGGGAATGCAGTGGGAAGAAAGCTGCTCCTCTGGGAATGCAGTGGGAAGAAAGCTGCTCCTCTGGGAATGCAGGGGGCAAAGGCTGCTGTGCTGTTCCCAGGTCAGATTGGATCCAGGTAGGAATGCTCGGCTCCTCCCCTGGGCAGAGCATCTCCCCATGGATGATGGAATTTTCTCAGCCATGCAGGGACACTCAGTGGCCATGAACAGAAGATAATTAATAATTAGTAGCCCATGAACAGAAAATATCTCCTGGAGGGAGGATTGGCTGTGGGAGAGATAAAGAAAAAACTGCCCCATGAACATCAGAGAGCTGCCCCAGCTCTGACAGATGGGATAGAACACACAGCCCCATTTCCAAGCTGACACACAGTCCCTGTGTCCCCAGCACGTGTTCTGTGAGGAGTGCCTGTGCCTGTGGTTTGACCGGGAGAAGACGTGTCCCCTGTGCCGCTCGGTGACCGTGGAGACGCTGCGCTGCTGGAAGGATGGCACCACCTCTGCCCACCTGCAGGTGTACTGACAGCAGGGCAGCTCACCAGGAGCAGGAGAATCCCGGGATCCCTGCTCAGCTCTGTTGTCAATCCTCCTTCCAGCTCTGAGCCAACAGAGCAATTGTGACCGGCCAGAAACTTTGCGCTGGAAGGAAGGGGAGGTGTGGGTTGTGCTGTGGCAGACTCCAGGGTGTTGCTGGAGCTTACAGGGCTATGAAGTGTCTGGGATGTTTCCTATTTTCCTGCCCTTTCAGTATGGACAAACACTGTGTGTCCAGGGCAGGGGAGTGTGAGTGCATGTGCTGAACAAAGCTGTGCTCTGGCTGAGCAGCTCGACATCACCTGGCCCTACATTCCCTGAATCCATGACTTTATCGAATTTCAGAGCAGCTCTCTCTGAGAACTCTTCCCAAGCAGTGCTTCAGAACCCCGTGTCCACAGCTGCAGTTACAGAAATGGCATTTCCCATTTCCCAGCTGCTGTTTTTCCAATTGATTCCACAAATGGCACTTCAGGAGAATCACAGGGAGCTTGGGAAGGACCCTGCCAGTGAAGCTGGAAATGACACCTCCTTTCGCTGGAAATGTTCTTCCTCTTTAATTTTCATGGTGAGACTTTCCCAGTCTCTGGGGAAAGTTGAGTTGGGTTTGTCTGGATGGAAATCCAGCACCTGACTAAGAGCATCTCACAAACTCAGTGTCCCTGCCCTGTGCTCCTCAGCCAGGACCTGCCTGGGTCCTCCAGCAGGGAAAACCAGAGCCTTGAGCTGCAGCAGGAGCTCCTGAGGAAGGAGATCCCTGGCAGGAATGAATAGGAATTCAGCCCACCCCTGTGGCTGAGCTCTCTGCTGAGGTTCTCCAGCAGCACAAGCCCTCAGAGGGAGCTGCTGTTTGTTCTGGAGCTCTCCCTGTCCCCAAACCACCTCTGCTCCCACCCCCCGGAGCAGCAGCATCCCCCCAGCTCATTGCCATGGAAATGGCTGGAGGTGACAGCCCCACCTGAGCCATCAGCAGGAGGAAGCTCCTGAGGGGAGGAGGCTGTGTCTGTGTGATGGAAACTCCACAGGGGAGGAATTAAAGCCATCAGGAGCTGATGGGAACAGGAGTAAAGCTCCACATTTCTTTGGAAATAAGCTCAGTGTGGCTGAGGAGGAATGGTGAGAGCAGAGCCTGAGCTGGGCAGAGTCCAAACCTGGCTTGGGAGGTCCAGGGAGCAGAGGAGGAAAAGCTTCACTTTCCAAACCAAAGTGATGTCAAATCCTTGTCTAATGGATCCCGTGCTAAGCCAAGGAATCTCATTGCTCTTTGCAATGGGAATAACTCCCCTATCTTTGGGATGGGACAGAGTTCAGAATGGCAGGGAGCAAGGTTTTCATTTGGCATAAAAAATATTATGTGTGATAGCCTGGAATATTCACCAGGAAAAGGGGAAATCAGTGATTCCATGGGCAGGCAGTTTCTGAAAGGCCTCAGTGTCACTGCAGTGCCACTGAACCCAGGGCTTGGTGTTTCTGATTTCAAACTGTTTGAAAAGCTACTTCTCATTCTGAATTTTTTCCCTAAATGCCCCTGGGAAATGTGTTTGGAGGAGTGTAGGAAAAGCTCAGTAGGAGCCCAACTCTACAGAAAGTGTGGGATACACTGCTTCAAAATTCAGTTTTTATTGGTGGTAAGGCAGGAAATCAAGGGGAAAGGGTGGGTTTGCATTCTTAAAGTTTTGGGGTTTTTTTGGGGATGATGGTCCTACCTTCTCCTAGAACATGACACTTGGACCAGAAAACATCCAGGGGAAACTTCAGTTCCAGCGACAGCTGCTGGGAACTTGCTGACTTTCATGGGAAAACAGGAGAGGCTGTGGAAGGAAATTCCTCAGAGAGAGGAAATAAAACCCGGAGCCTTTTTTTTTTGCCATTGAACAGTTATTTTTCTTTTTTTTTTTTTTTAATAAATTCCTTATAAATATGTACAAAGAGTCTCAGCATATGAAATTCCTTTTACAAAAGAGAGAAGCCCCATCCAGCCAGGACCAGGAGCCTCCTGGAGCTCCAGGAACTCCGAGCACAGGCCCTGCCCTTGCTTTGGTGAGGGAGAAACCTGCACAGTGACCCTGCTGGAGTTTCATCCCAATGGTTCTGGAGCAGCAAAATGCCAGGAATTGGGTATTCCCTGCCTCTCATTCCCTTGGCAATGCCCCTGGGAGAGACTGGGGAATTCCCAGTGGCCTCAGGACTAATGAGGATGGGAAGGTTTTGTGATAAACTGTGGTGAATAACTGGAAAAAGGATGCTGTAAAAACCCAGGGAATTAAATCCCATTGCAGCTGGGTTTACTCTGCTTGCTGCCACCTGTAACTACTGATGGAGTAACTAATAAAGATGTAACTAAAAAAGGTGTAAGTAATGATGGTGTAACTAATAATGGCCATTTCATCCCCAGATGCTTTCAGTGAATATTTATCAATCTCCAGAGTCTCTTCCTGTAAGTATTAAAAACCTTGAGAAATTCAAGCACTTTAGTAATTCCCTCAGAGTGGACCCTGAAGTCACATCAAAATTCACTTCTGTACTCAAATAAATATTTGGGAAAAAAAAAAAAAAAAAAAAAAAAAGGTTTGTGTTTTGTGGTGTAAAAACCCAAGGCAGGAGCAGCAGGTGAGGATCCCTCCCCTCTTCTCAGACTGGCTGGTCCTAGGGAAGCCCAATTCCCATGGTATTTACAATTCCCCCAGCCCTTGGATCTGGAACTGGCATTGCCAGAGCCTCCTCCTCACCTGCTGTGATGAGATGGAAAGTTCAGCTCACACGGAGCAAAGTTACACAAGAACAAGGATGAGTTTGAAGCCTGGATTGAAAATCAAATTTGCTGGGAGCAAACTGGCTCCAAGGAAAGCTGTGCACCTGCTGGGGAGCTGAGATTCAGCCAGGAGGGCTGGACATGGACAGTGTGTGTCCAGGATGCAGCGTGGAGCCTCAGATAGTCTGTTCTGTACATGCTCCATGCAGGCTCCTGCCAAGAGCAGGGACAGATGTTCTGTAGGAAAATTGAGTATTATGTGCTACTCTGTCCTCACTGGGGCCATTTTTCACAGGGCAGTGCAGTTTTCCAGCTGGGAATGCCTCATTCCAGGCTGTCTGTGGACAGACACTGCACCAGTTTAACCAGTTCAGTTTGTCATGGATTTCAACAGCAGGAACTGCTTCTGCTCATGCTGAGGGTTTAAGAGACCTTTATAACTTTTCCTGTGATACAGAAACAAAACAAACTCACAAATCAGATGAAACTGGTTCAAGAAGTGTTGAAGGAGGATTTAAGGGAATTGCTTTAGCAATGGGCTTGGCTCAAAAGGAATTCCTGCCTGCTGTGAAGCAGGGGATGGGATTTCCCCTCTGCACTGTCAGCTCCCTGCTTGGGGTGCTTTGCTGGAGTTTGCCTGGGTGCTGTGGGACAGCAGCTCTGGTCCCATCCCATCCTTTTCACCTGCTGAGAATCCTGCTGGGAAGAGGAAGGAGTGTGGAACTCCTGGGCCAAGCCCTCCCTGGGGTAACCCAGCATTGCTGGTGCAATGTGAGCAGGTGGCAGAGGAGCTGAGCAGCAGCCCACACCAGGCTGCTCTTTTACCTCGGAACATGGAATTCCAGGTTGTGCTGGGAGCTGTCTTGGCAGAGAACTGCTTGAAAAATTCATGAAGAGTTCCCTCCCAGCCTTGCTCGGCGCAGACTATGAGCTCATAACCGAGCTCTGAAACCCGAGAGGGCTCTGTGTCTCCATCGGGACAGCCCTCCCCGGCCCTCCCAGCTGACCCAACCCAGGGATTGCTGCTGCTGTGAGAAAACAAAAGGGCCAGAGGGGAACTGTGCCGGTTTCCTGCCCACAGGAGGGGACTGGGAATTTCCAGGGAGTTCACAGCACCCTTCCCTTTCCGTGCAAACACCAACCAGGGGAAAAGCAGATCTTGTAGAAAGGATAAAAACACTCCTTGTCAAAAAATGGAGGCGTTCAAGGATAGCAATTACACCACAAAATGTAAGGCTTTGACAAATCTGTACCCTCAATAAGGAATTCCAGTTCTGTACAGGGAATTCTGGCTACAAAACTCCAAAACTTCACCCTCGCTTCATGCGAAACATCCAGTTTGGAACGACAAAAGTGAAGCAAACCAGGAACAAGGCAGGATTTGGGGTACACACCTGCTCTGGTTTCCACTTGGGAAGCACCATCGATGTGGCTGTTCCATGCTGGGCAGGACAAGTCTTTTAACATTTTTTGCTGACTGTTTGGAGCCCCTGAGGAGAGCAATCCCCTGGGAGCTCTGAGGTTTGGGAATTTTCACAGACAAGCCTGTCCACGGAGGGCTGGGACTGAGGGAGGTCAGCCGATCCCTGCACTGGGGCTGATCACAGATTTGGGGGTTCTCCCAAGGTGGGGAGGACAGAACTTCCTTTCCTTTTCCTTGGCTGTGCTGTTCCCAGGGAATTGAAAGACTGGGAGCAGCCTGAAGGCTGCAGCCCCCACCAGCCAGGGCAGCAGGAGAGCCAAGGGCAGTGCCAGCTGTGTGCACAGGGAAAATGGAATAATGCCTATTCCAGGTGGGAAGTTTGTTACATTCAGAGCTGATAAAGGTGAGGAATCTGTGGGAGAGCCTCTGAGGGATGTGACCCAGCTCTGGGCCTGTCCCAGGGCTGGGGAGGATGTGCAGGGCAGAGCTGCAGGGGCTGTCCCCTACAGCCAAGTGTCACATCCATGGGTCCTGTTCAAGTGGGACTTGTGCAATTCCACAGGCACAACTTCACTCCCACATGCCAGGGGATTCCAGAAATTGCTATTTTTAAGGCTCTCCCCAGCACTGGCAGCACTGCTGGAATCAGCTGAGGCTCCTCCTTTTGTTAGAAGAATTTGTCCTTGTTTCTGTAGGAGACTGAGCTGGGAAGGGGTTCAGGATGCTGAGGATTACTGAGCATCAGGCCAAAAATGGCAGGAAAATGTTTCACTGGCCCCTGTGGCTCTGAGACCACCCAAGGGACATGGACAGACAAATGACACGGAGCTACAGCACCCCTCCCAACACTGCACATCACCTAAGGCAGGGCAAGGCTCTTCACTAGGAACAATCTGCTCTTCCAGCAGAGCCCTTGCTGCTGTTTGGGAATGGACTTGGATCAATATCAGCCAGGAAAATGTGTGCAGGGGCTCAAAACACTGCGGTGAATATTTGATAAAGGGAGAATTTCGCTTTCAGATTGCCTAGAAACATTTCTCCTGCAGCAGTGGAAAATGCAGGGTCTGACTGGACACAGAGGCCACTCGGCTTCTTCCTGGGCTGGGGGAGGGGTGGGAAGTATTTTTAAAAGACAAGGAGCCGAATTCCCTTCAGAAATCGGGTTCTAACATTCCTTTATGCCTTTGAAAATGCCCTCCCTGCCATGGCAGGGTCAATTTTCTGGTGCAAATATCTGAAGGTAGGAAAAATGTTTCAAAATAACTGTGCACAGGTTGCTGTATGTGGAAGGTACCCGAAATCTGACAGGTAGTTTTGGCTGCAAGGAAAAAAGTGCTCAGTATGAGACTGAAAAAAGCCCTTTGACTTCTAAGGCCAAGTTCTCCTGTTATCCCCTGCTCTAGTGATCAGTCTGGATAAGAGTTCTCTTCCCTGGTTCACGGGATGTGGGACTGAATAAATCACCATGCAAGAGAATTCCCAGCTCTGGAGCTGCAGAAAGTGCTGCTCTAGCAGACTCTGATGTGCACACTGCAGTGGAAAGGGCCCTGTGTCCTTTCCACCTCAGTGCCTGCTGCTTCCCAAGCTCCACACTGTCAAAAGAAAAAGAACTGCTCCAAAGAAAAGGAGTTTTATAAAGTTCTGGGGTAGATTATTTGTTTCGTCTTAGTTTCTGCAGAGATTGAAAGAAAGAAAAAAAAAATAGCACCTTCTCAACAAGTCTTATTTTTTGCTATCTTGTGTATAAATATCAATAACCAAAATAGATCTTTCCTTGTCCCACGTTTCAGAACATCCTCTTGGGGAAACCGTAGCACCACAGAGAGGCAGTTTAGCCCCAGACAAATATTAAATGTAGCACCAGAGAAACTAAAGTCATAGGAAAGCTGCTCTCCCCTGGTGCCAGAGCATGAATATTTACACACACAAACTGCTGTCCGAGCTGCTCCGCACCCGCTCCCCGCCACGCCTGGGCCGTGCCTGCGCTGCAGCACGCTTGGAATTCTCAGGATTACTAATCTGGGTGTAGAGATTCCTCCTCATCCTGCTGCATAAACGGGCCAGCAGGGCAGTGGGTGGTGTCCAGCAGGCCAGCAGCAGTGCCAAGGCTCGGCCTGCAGGAGCAGGGCTGCTCACAGCAGCGATCTACAGGGAATGTCGCTTACGCTCTCGACAAGGCATGCACGCGTCCACGTCTGCATACACAGGGGTTACATTCTTCTATATATAAGCAGGTTTTGTGTCTCTGGTTTGCTGCTGGGCCCTTGAACAGCTCCTTCCGGGCAAATCCTCCTTCTCACATCGCCCAAAGCACTTCCAGCATCTCCCACTTCTTTCTTTCTCTCCACTCCTCACAGCTGCTGCTCAGGCTCTGGATTCCCTGGAGGAAAAGGGGAAACAATTTTCTCCAAGGGCACAGGGTTTGTTCCAGCCTAAGAAAGCAAAAAAAAAAATGGGGTTGGGTGTTAATTATGTTGATGCATTTGGTACAATAAAAGCTTCTTTTAAATTTATGCTTGAACCCTCCTACTAAATTTATGGACAGGAAGAGGAGTGGAGTTTATGGGGAAGAGGGTTTGTGGCTCAGACAGGAGATGATGCCTTTGGCCCTGGGTATTGCAGATTTCTGGGAGCTTTCTCCCTTGCAAGGCTCCTTTTGGGTGCTCCATCTTCATTTACATCGCATTAACAAAAACGTGAACTTTTAGGGAAGTCATTCAATTTGTTCCAGGTAGGCAGTGGGGTGCACGGAGTATCACAGGAGACTGCAAGAACTCACTCATTCCTGCCTCTGCCACTGATTAGATTTGTGGCCTTGGGCAAACACTGCTTTCAGTTCTGCTGCAAAATGAGGGCACTAATAACTTCTTTGCCTCACAGGTGGGCTGCGAGCCTTAATTAATAAAGTGCTCAGAGAAAGGCACCCATCTAAGTGCAAATTAGCAGGAGAGGTGCCCGAGGGGCATCTGCGATGAAATTCCCATTTCCCAGCGTTTGTCCCCCAGTTTGTTGACAGCAGCCCTGGCTGGGGCAGATGCCATGGATGTCTCGTTGGCAGGCTGTGACAATGAGAGATCCCAGAAAAACCCGCACGGAGATAACTCTGCCGGCCGGGATGAGGTGATTTCACCGCTGGGAGAGGGGGAGTCGCTGACGGTGCAACTGCAGAGCCATGAGGTCACAGGCTCATCAGGGCTGGCCAGCGGCTCCGGGGCAGATGCTGAGCTGCCTTCCCCTGTCCTGCCCTGCTCATGCCAGCGGGAAGGTAGCAGGAGGCAGCCTTGGGATGGGCTGAACCCCCCGGGACACAGGGGAGTTGTGGTGCTGCCACGGCCTGTGAGCAGAATCACAGAGTGTCCCGAGTGG